TAAAACGAATGAGTTGCTGGATTGATCGGGATCACAATGCTAACACAAAGTTTAGCGTGATGCTCTGCTTAACAGACCTACAGACTGAACTTCATGCTGTCTCCTCAGGGCAACATTAAAACAGATGTTAAGTCTAAGCAACATAAAGAAAAAATGCTTTGTAATGTACTATTTTTCAGTTGGGATAAACTAATCCCATTGGTGAGCTAAATGAAAACTTGTACGTTTAAGCTCATCTCCTTGAATGCCTCTGTATCATTTTCAGTGCAGATGCTATTTTTAGGTCTTTTGTTGGAAGTCCTGTTGGGTTTCCCTGTAGTTGCAAAGGCAACTACAGGGAAACCCAGTAGTTGCTCGCCTGCTCGATCTCCTCCGGTGAGTGAAAACTTAAAACAGACAAAGTTGAATGAAGGCAAATATGCTGAGTAGTGGAACTGGTGAGTAACCGTTACACTCACTCTGAGCCCTAACACCATGTAGACGGTTACACCCTGTGGGAATGAACTCACACTGTGATGAATGTTAAAAATTGAGATTTAATTTCCCTTTCACCCTGTATACATATATACTAATAAGATGGTGGATGCTAATATTGAATTATATTGAAGTTTGAGATAATGAAGTCAGCATGTGCACAACTAATTAACTTTTAAAAAATCTTTTGGCTCTGTATGACATCACTGAGGGCAGATATCCTCAGTCAGACAGCTCTGACTTTGAGCACAGTAGCCCCATCAACCCTTCTGGTTGTGAGGGGCTGCCAATCAGAAGAAAGCATGGCTTAAAGTGGGAGGAGCTAGAGTGGCTTGTTTCAAAGAGTGGATGAACTGAATAAAAATGTGGAGTTGACAATGAGCATAACAGGTCCCATTAAAAGATCTACACAGAGCATCTTTAATAATTACAGTTAATAATAAATACTATGCAGATGTTATGTTTTTAGTATTTTGATGGGAATATTCTTTATAACAAGGCTGTTCTTAACAATCCCATCTGATTTCTAATAAAAAAGACCACAAATTCATCCTTACAAACACAATTCTATCTTTAACCAACAAACAGACCCACTGAAAAGTCATTTCTCTTCTTAGGAAAACATTTTGAGAAGAAAAAAAAATCAAAAATGTTATTTTCATAGTCACAAGTCTCAGTACATCCAGTACCTCAACTTCACATTTCCAAGATCAAATCAGATTAAAGACGTTTGCTACAAGCGGTCCTCTCATGCCTACAGTATCATTAGTCTGTGTTTATGCATTCTTTCCCAAATGATCCAATACCTCATAATATATTTTCACTGTCAACAAATGAACAGTGACTCTTTTAGAAACTCTCAAAGTGCAGACTTGGCAGCCATCATGCAAATATCCAGCTATCTCTCTATCCAAGCAAGACGTTGTTTAAAAGTCTGAAGAGGTGACTTTGAGGATAACTGTGTGTCCTAAATGAGCAGGCTATCCAACGTCCAGACGGTCTGCACTGGGGTTGACTATTGGCCTATTTAGAGGCACCCAAGGTGAGAAGGAGCAAGAGAATCTCCCACTACTGTGTGTGCGTGTGCGTGTGTGTCCGGGCAAAGTAAGCATATGGCCACGTGCTTGCATAATATTCTGCCCGTGTCCTGGTTTGCATATATGTCAGAACGTCTGTTTCTGCATGTGTGTCAGCGTGTCTGTGTCTGCTGCGGTGTGCAGGCTCACGTCAGCCTGCGTTTCTGTCTGTGTGCGGGATTGAGTTCACAGGCCAGACTGGCCGACCTACTGAGATCGACACCGACTGGCTCGCTCGCCGCTAATCCCTGCTCACACACACTCTAAACGCCTTTTAGCACACAAGTTTTATTTCAACCCTACAGGAAATACGGCTGATAGGCTTCAGGTGAGGCTAATAATACCACGTAGGCTTGTATCCAAAAACATGCAGAAGGCAATCCCTTAACTACAGTCCTTAAATTCAAGCCTTAACCTACTTCTAATTATGGTTAACTCTGAACACCACCCACACTGGCCAGAAGTCATAATTAGAGGATGATGACAAATGCCCCTTAGTAGACCGAAATAACCAAAGGTGTCTTTTATTCCTCCATCAGAAGTTATGTAGTCTGTCATTAAGAGTGAGCTGATATAATACTACACACCTGCAGTCACAAAGAACCTGCCATACTCTTCAGACCGATACCGTAGTAGAATATTATCTGCTAACATGTCATTTTAATAATGTGCATCAGTACAAAAACACTTTAAGGTGCTACTGAGCCTTGTTTTTGTCCTTGTGCAAACACTTTTATGCAACAATCTCTGGCTAATCTTCAAAGCTTTGGCGAGCTGTCACAGTTATCAAAGCAACCCATCTTGGCCGTGTCACAGTTTGATATCTTAACATCTGCTCTTTTACGCCTTGTGTCACCATCTGAGGATCAATGACAGGATGTGACGGGGTTGTAATAATAATTAACAGCTTTGTCATCCGATGTCAGAGCCGAGCGGTTTCCCCGCAGTAATTATTGTGCTGTGAGCTTCACATCTGTGCCAGCCAACAGAGTCCACTCACAAAGTCAAAGTGCTTCTCAGCAAAAGCATTCATTTCCCAGTCTCCCTGAGATCCGTGTGTTGGACATGTAGAGGATACATATTTTTCAGACTGCCTTCTGTCAGAACTCTGTGTATAGTTAAAATTACTCCAACTCCTCCAGATCAGTGACAGAAGTCATGAATATCTTGATTTTACAATTAAATATTATACAAATACCACGTGTTAGGGAATAAAAACATTCTAAATACACGTCTAAATATGTGGGTACACCTATCTAAAGGTGCTTAATAAAGATTCAGGTCAGAGGTCACAGTAGGGATCCAATTTCCAATCTGTATGGAGCATTATCAAGTTTAAGATAAGAAAAATTAGAAGAGGAGATGGAATTACAACTTAGTATAAAGTGACAGGGCCTTCAATGCAAATCTGTGGTAACAGTGTCCAGTGGGGTCAGACCATCTCCAAAACTGCAGCTCTCATTCTGCAGCAGTCAGTATTTATCGAAACAGGTGAACCAGCGACAGGGTCATGGAATGCCAAAGCTCACAGATGCCCATGTGGACATTCTACTGTAGCTCAAATTGCTGAAAACGTTGATGCTGGTTCTGACAGAAAGATGTCAGAATACACAGTGGGTATGGGGTTGCATAGCCACAGACCATTCAAGGATCCCATACTGACCCCTATCCACCAACAATGGGGACTTGAGCATCAGAACTGGACAATGGGCAATGTTCTGCTGGGAAACCTCGGCCCTTCCATCAATGTGGTTGTAAATTTCACATGTACAACTTACATAAGGTTGTACATGTCATTTCTAAAGACCATGCAAGCAGGATTTCCTGATGGCTGTGGTCTCTTTCAGCAAGATAATGTGTCCTGCCACAAAACAGAAATGGTTCAGGGATGCTTTGAGGAGCACAACAATGTGTTTGGGGTTTTGACGCAGTCTCCAAATTCCCAGGATCGTAGTCTAATTGAGCATCTGTGGGATGTACTGGACAAACAAGTCTGATTCATTGAGTCCCCACCTCGCAGCTTATAGGACTAAAAAGATCTGTGGATGACATTTTGATGCCAGATACCACGGCACAGTTTCAGGGACCAAGTGGAGTCCATGTTTCAATGGATCAGGGCTGTTTTGGCAGAAAAGGGGGACCGGCACAAGAACAGGCAGGTGGTTCTGATGTTATGCTGCTTCTAGAATCAATTTTCAGGAAACACAATATTCCCTTTCATTGTTTTGCTGATGACATCCAAATATATTTCCCTATTAGATTTGATGCCTATATCCCACTGACGCTTCTGTTTGATTGCCTATAAGATAGCAAACACTGGTTAACACTACATTTTCCCCCCTTAATGTCAACAAGACCAAAATGATTGTATCTGGAAATTGTCCCTCATCTAGACTGGTTAATGGATGTCCCTGCCCCCCTTGTTTCTTATTGCTCCTCGGTGTTGGTAGTTTTTAAAAAAAATGGCTTTTACATTCGAAATACAACCGACCACAGTTGTTAAGACCAGTTTTGATCATTTACATCAAATTTACAAAGAAAAATCCTACCTTCCTCCACAAAAAATACATTCACCGTCTGCATTTCTTGCAAAATATGGAGGTCAGTACCTTTTAGTTACGATTCCATGACCAATGGTTACCTTGAAGCTGGTAACACGTGGGAAACCTCCATATCTTATCTGTTTTATGGTGGCGGTGTGTGGGATGGGTAATTGCAGCCACTAAAATCACGCAGTAAGGAGGTGATGGCTAAGATATTGTGTTTTCTTTTGTTCTCTTTTTTAATATTTTGGATTTTGTTTTTCCTTTATTTTTGTAATGGGAAAAAAAGGAATATGTGAATTTCTTTTTTCTTTTTTTTTTGCCCAGAAGTTAAATAAAAGAATATTTATGTAACTCAGTTTTGTTAGACACATAACAAGATGCTGACAACAGCTGTTAGCAGGGCATGCATTTGACAGTTTCTTGTGTAAGCTCAACTGGAACAGGAAGTAATGTTCTATAAAATTCCGCACACATGGGTTATTTACTTTGGAATGCCTAAATGAAGAAATCTTTTCTATAAGAAAATGTTACTGAAAACTTGAACAAATTAAAGCACATTTTAAAAACAGCCTGACATGCTCTCTTTTCAGGTTGTCACTAGTATGAGATAGTATGAGACACACTAAAATACATGATGAACCATGTCAAATCTGTGACACTACAACAAATTTTCATACTCTTGGTCAATTGAGATCGATTACATGTCGTCCCACTAAATGGTGTCATTCTTTGGGAACCCTGGTCACTGTTTACAAGAAACCAGCATGCAGGTCAGACATCCCGCCCCATGGCCCCGACACTGAAACTGTTACATGGCAGATTGTTTTGTAACAGTTTTCCAAACTCGTCCAATGAGAACAGCTGGCCGGCGTCACGTGACACAACTTTTACATAACAGTTTTTTTTTTCACCTCCTCGCCATGGTCCATTGAGAATAATATCGGTCCTTCCTGGACTAGGGCATGAACGTGCAGAGTTGTCAGTCGTTTGCAGCGGAGGGGACAGACGTGAATGGCAGCAGCTGGGGTGCAGACATGCACCACGTAGATGAGCTGATACGCTTCGGACAGCCTGCTCTGTATGGGGACGGAGAGTGAGAGCATGCTGCATCTCGCAGCAGAGGCTTTCAAGTCGAAAAACTTCGACCTGGCCGCGGACATCTACGAGTGCCAGCTGGCGTGTCTCGGAGATCCGCAGAGCCGGCGGGAGCTGATGGTGAAGCGGGCTGACGCGCTCGCGTTCGGGGGGAAATTCACGGAAGCGTTTGATGTGTACCGGCAAGCCTCGGAGATAGAGAGGCTGAGACCCACTCACCTGGCCAACCTCATAGAGTACCTGTCGGGTACTATACGGAGGCAAGACGAGGGTGAGAGGCAACGGGGCAACCCGTGTAGGGCAAAGGAGGCAGGTGCAACTGTATGCCCGAGAGCGGGTGCCACAGGTTGCGGGTATGAAGACTTCTCCTGCCGGATATGCCTGAGCTTTCTGTTCGAGCCGGTGACTCTGACGTGCGGTCACTGCTTTTGTAAAAAGTGTCTGGAGAGGGAGAGGAAAGAGAAAGAGCGACCGGTGGTGTGTAAGGAGTGTAAGAATGTCTCAGCAGTGAGCGACAGCCTAGGTCTCAGGGTGAATGTGGTCCTCAGCAACCTGCTGGCCAAGTGGTTCCCCACCCAGTACCAGGCCGGCCAGCTGAGGCGGGAGGGCAACGCACTGTACGCCGAGAAAAAGATGGAAGCTGCCCTGGAGAAGTATAACCAAGCAATACTCGCAGGTAAGACACCGAGCTGCTGCTTCTTATTCTTATTATTACTAAGAAGCAAAAAGAAAGGGTGTGTGTGTGTGTGTGACAGGGCTGCTGTAGCCTACTTCTGTAACTTTCCTATTATTCCATAACAGCATGTCAGGTGTGTTTATGTAAAAAGTACAGTAAAATAACAAGGTCGAGCTGTTCCACATTTATTAGTCATAATCGTGGCGGTGACACAGTAGCTAGCCACCTCTCTGCTGGCATCTAAGAGTCACATCGCCATGTGTTGGATAACAGGGTAATGTGGGCTGGGCCAGTGGACCAAACATTGCGTAAGCACGTAACCCCCCCCCATTGTGTAACGTCAAACAATGGATCAGGCAAATGTAGGTCAAGGGTATTATTGCAGGTCACCGCTGGGCACACCAGCGCTCAGTTTCTGTTTTTGTGTTTTGTTTTGTTTTTAATTGGGAAGAGCTTGGATGGTGATAACATAGGTGAACTGTGACCTTCAGACAGGAATCACTGGCAGTGAGCTAGGGGCAATCCCTAATTTAACATTTTGCTGACATGCATTAATTTAAGTAGCATTTAAAGAGCCATATGCCCCTTCGTTGTTTTCCTATTTCATCAGTTAAATGTAGTGATTAACACAGAGATCAAACTACAGCCCTCTGCGTCTTGGATCCTTAGCCTGTCCTCATTAGACTTTACAGCAGTGTGCAGCTGTAGCTCAGTCACTTAATAGGCTAGTTGTGTAAGTTTGGAGCTAGTGTTTCTCCTTTAAAAAGTGTGCCATATTTTCCATTGCTGACTATCTGACAGCTGACAGGCAGAGTATTTTTACGTTGCATAAGGACCGAACATTTCTGACTACTGGGTTCCCACATTTATCTCAAAGCAGGAGTTTAGCTGGAGAGCACCCACAGTTGTCAACTGGGCTTTTTGATGATTCAACGTGGTTCTAACATGTTTTCCTAAAGGTGTTCTGACAGATCACAATTAACAAAGGTTTTCACAGTTGCAGAAACTGAGTTCCACATCACCTTATTCATAGACAGATGGATGTATGCTGGGTTTTCCTGGATCCTGGATGACTTCTGTGCATTTTCCTGTTGTTATTTTTGGCTTTTTGTCAAAATTAAACCCCACCTCTTAAAAAAAATAGAAGAATATTCCTTTTGGGTGGAAGGCCAAAATCCTCCGTGGTGGGGGTCAAAGTTTTCAAGCACTGGTTTTTTTGTTTTTGTTTTTTTTTTAAAAAGGAGTCCATTCCCAAAGGACTGACCTTTTTTTTTTTTTTTTTTTTTTAAGGGTTATGCTTTCAGAGTAATGTTGGCTCGAGGTGAAGATCAGGCCCAAAGTTGCATTTAGGCATGCTGCAGTTAAGCCTGGAGATGGTCTCCAAAGAGTGAATGCCAGTCTAAAGAGTTATAATTAGAGCAGGTCTGTGTGATATGTATCTTTGTGTGTATGCATCTATGTTCAGCAAGGCTGCCTGCAGTTAACCACAGTGCTAATCAATCTTCCTTCTGTGATGCTTGTGTTGTGCCTGACGCCTGTGCAGTTACAGGCCCTACTTTGGCTCGTTCTGTCATGTTTGGGGCTCCTGTGTTGGTTTCTTTGAGTGATTTGCTGCCTGTGCCCGTAGCGAAGCTGGGGAAATATCTCCTTCCGGTTCCCATAAGGCTATCAGTGGTATTTGCATAAGTTTTTCACGTTATGAAACCTACAATGTGGGTGACCTTGATAGTACTGCATGGTTTTATAAGGCAGTCATTTTTTTTTTCTTAACACGTTTTGTAATGTCGAAACGAACCCATTTTAAACATTCACTCAGCGTTATAACATGCCAGCGGATACTGTTTAAGACATTTGAAAAGGGAAAATATAGTGGTCGTTATTTATTTGTATTCTATACTAGGCTCAGATCTTACAGGGAACAAGGGTATATTAATAAACAGTTAATTATTTATTATTATTATTTATTAAGCATGCTGGCTGCTCATATATGCGGTATGTGTCACCTCAGTGTAAATTGATATCAGTCAACAAGCAGTCTGAAGATGTTTGTGTGTGTTATGTTGTCATGTTAACATGTTTTTGTTTATGTTTTGTGTGTCTGAATGAAAAAATATCGGCTGATGTATCGGAATATCTGATTTTTAAACTGCCAAATATAGATATGGGTATTAAGAATAATCTATCGGTCGGGCTGTTGGTTTTAAAAGAAGAGATTAAAAGAATTAATTTTATTATTTTAGAAGCTAAAACTAGAATATATAGAGTTCTTGTCAGAAGAATTATTTAAATTATTGTATAACTGGTCAGTAGTCTGTTCCTTAAATGATTGCTCCTCCATATAACTGTCAAATAATCATTACTGTTTTTAATTGCTGGTTGAACAGAAAGGCCATTTAAATTCATAACTCTGGGCTCTGGAAACGTTTCCTTTTCTTTTATAGTTTAAAAAAATATTTTATTAGAAGAAGGGAAAAAATAAGTGGAAAACACGTAGCGCCATTCCTAAAATTTTACAACTAACGGTTGCTTGGGTTCTTCTCTCCAGCACCAACAGACCACATACTGTTTAGTAACCGCTCCCAGATCCACTCGAGCCTGAAACGACACGAAAAGGCTCTGATGGACGCTGAGATGGCCTGTAGACTGATGCCTCACTGGTCCAAGGTACAGCAGAGAAACTGTAGCTTTTAGTTCATTATATTAAACACTTGCCCTAGTGTAGTAGCAAAGTGAATAAGCTGCAACATGCTGCATGTTTCTTTTGTGTACAGGGTCACGTTCGCAAGGGCCAGGCCCTGGTGTCATTGGGCAGGAGTGAGGAGGCTCTAAGAGAGTACCTAGTGTGTCTGTCCATAGAGCCTGACTGTAAACTTGCTAAGACTGAGGCTTACAAGGTAAATATGACCACTGTTATCTTGTGACCTGCCCTACTGCACATTAAATACAACAAATCATTTAATGTTTTAAGGGAAAACATTAAGTGTGTATTTGCAGTGTCATCAAAATAATGACATAATGGCTTATTTTCCTCTTTCAGATCCTGAGTGATCTGCTGGCTCCAGTCAGAGATCAGGTCCCTGAACACATCTCTGACTACACCAATATACTGTCTTCCAGAGCACACATCAAAAACAGCATCGGTGCTCCCTTCCATGTAAGAGATGTTCCACGTCTGGAAGTCAGCCAATCCAAATCAAGTCCACATGAAGTTTCTCTTTAATTTATTTTCTTCTTCTCTGCATCTTTACTCTCCATCCTCAGACCCTTAGTCCCGGATCACTGTCTCCAGAGTCTTATCTTACCTCGACTCTCCCTGCACCAGAGAGGTCACCAAAGGAGAATCAAAGCAAATGTCAGGGGAGGACAGAGGTCGGGAGGTTTGACCAGTGCTTCCTTACCAAACGGAAACGAAGGATTTCAGAAGAGGAGGCAAAGGTGGAACTTCAGGGGAAGAACAACGATCACAAGAGATCCAAATCTGGTGATTATACAGCTTTGCACAATCATACGCTGTCATATACTATTAGCAACTTCAGCATTGTATTTATTGTTGATTACCTCTACATTTAGAGCCAAACGAGGAGCCGGAATATTTGAGCTCTGTGGATGACGACCTCTTTGACCCCGCAGATCTGGAGTGTCCTCTTTGTATGAGGTGAGAGCAGTTTGATTTACAGCTAGGTTTACGCAACTGACACTGGACAAGCAGGCTGTGTAGGGCCAGAATGCAAACACACTGAATCTTACGCTTTAAATAAGGCATTTTATTGCTGTTGTAGTGTAGCTTGCCCTTGTTTGTCCGTGGTTTTTCACTGTTTGTGTGTTTCCCATCTAGACTGTTCTATGAACCAGTGACAACACCGTGTGGGCACACTTTCTGTCTTCAGTGTTTGGAGAGATGTCTGGACCATAACCCAAAGTGTCCCCTTTGTAAAGAGGATATGTCTGAGGTAGGTGGCATGGGAATTCAATAAACTTTTCAGACTGACCGTCCACATTCAATAAGGCCTAAGCAATGATTACCAACCAGGGGTATAATTATTCCTCTGCAGTAGCAAGGTGCTGTGTGGAAAGATAAATTACCTAATATAAAGAGAAAAAACAGTGAAATTATAGAGAATTTATGAGCTCTGAAAAGGTTTTGTGAAGAATTTAAAGTAACTGTATAGATAAGCAATAATGAAAAATTTAAAAAGCTTGTTATAGGTATGGCTAACAGTTAAAGTTTGCTAAAAGATATGCTTTGTGTGTGTGCGTGTGTGTGTGTGTGTGTGTGTGTGTGGGGGGGGGGGGTTAACAGTAGGCATAAACAAAAGTAATTATTAGCTACACATGATAAATAAAATGTGGCTTAAACTAGCTAGCTGAAATTCTGAAATAAAAAGTTGGAAAACTGGTAGACGTTTGGCTAGCTATTGAAATGGTTAGCTAGTAAATGAATGAATATATATATTAGGGGTGCAACGATATTCGTATCGATATTGAACCGATATCGATATTGAATATATATATATATATATTACACACACATACACATATATATACATACACATACGTATATGAATAAAAAAAATAGAGGATGGATGCTTAAGGTATTTGGGTTAAAAAAAAAATGCTAATTGATAAACGGTCTACTAAACATAATTGCTAAGGATATTTGATGTTGGGGAAGGTGGTGTCAACTTATCCCACAAGTCTTTGGGGGTTATTGTAAGCTACTGATCTAAGGTGGCTTCCAGAGTTGTTATAAATACAGAGTTGGTAACCTAGCATATTAATGAATGTTGAGTCTTTATAATATTGTTTATATTGTTGCAGAAACCATGTTTTATATAGTTTGGTTCATTTCTTATGCTCCAGTAATAATGTCATTGTCAGGGCTTTGAGCATATTTGATTTGTGGATCCCTTGAAACCAGTCAGACTAACAAGGTTGTGGGACAACAACCACAGGAGACATCCTTATTGTGTCATTCTGCTGCTGTTAACATATTCATTGTGTCTGTCTCCAGTATCTGGTCCAGAGGAAATACTGTAAGACGGTAATAACTGAGAACCTGATATCGAAGTATCTTCCCTCTGAGCTCATGGAAAGACAGAAAATCCACCTGGAGGAAATGGCTGAGCTCTCCAAGTAAGTTCATATTTCCCGCTCTTCTCCACTGTCTTATTATCAGGCTCTGCTTATATTTCTTTCTCCCAGCAAGTCTTTTGATGGATTGCAGCTTACGTGTGACATTAACATTTTGAGAATATCCTCGGCTGTTTGACCTACTGACCTACAACTGACGGCACACGTGTCCGACACAGTGATCTCTGAGTGTTGGTCATTCAGGCTTCATGTGTCACTTTCCTGACGGCCGATGCATAAATTAATTCACTCTCACGTTAACCAGTGTCTTTTACATTTGGCCTAAAGTTCACCTGGAGTTTAAGTTAACTTTTTTTGTTGTTTTTTTTACAAAAGATTTTCATTCATGTTGAATTTTTAATTGAAAGTTGTTGTTTTGTTTTGTTTTTTTTTGTTTTTTTTACACGATATCTCCTCCTTAATGAAAATAAAAAAGACTTTTTTTTTTTCCGTGTCTCCCCTTAGTCTTAACAAGAATGTGCCTATATTCGTGTGCACCATGGCCTTCCCTACTGTGCCATGCCCTCTCCATATCTTCGAGCCCTGCTACAGACTGATGATTCGCCGATGCATGGAGACGGGTACCAACTGCTTTGGCATGTGTCTGGGAGATGACCTCAAAGGGTTAGTACTTTGACTGCAGCTGTGTGGAGTTGGTGTCGGACTATGAATGCACATAATGTTAACTTGCTCCCTGCGCTTTCTCCTTCGGCCTCCAGGTTTGCCGACTACGGGTGCCTACTGGAGATCCGCGATGTCAAGTTCTTCTCCGACGGCCGCTCGGTTGTGGACACGATAGGCAAACGGAGGTTTAAAGTAATTCAGCACAGCGAGAGGGACGGCTACAACACAGCTGACATAGAGTACCTGGAAGATGTTAAGGTATGAGGTGGTGGGGGTTGTGAGCTGGGAGAGTGAGAGATGACAGGATGAGTTTAGACTTTATAAGGTGTTATTAACATCCTGGTCTGAAAACAAGTTGATGCACAAGTGTCTGAAACTAGCATTCTTTCTAATGGCCAGCAGGGGGCAACCCAACACCAACTGAAAAAGAAAAGCCAATTTCATAATTGATTTATAACCCGAGTAAACATTTTCCGATTATTTCAGAGCCCCAGTTGCAAGTTTCAAGTCTTGTTTAATCCAGTGTGATGCTCATTTATTAAAATATGGTTTCATTTAGAAGAAAAAAGAGATGATAAAGCAGGATACAGTATGCTGTGGCTACTTTGGGATTTTTCAAGCATGCAGTGTCCCTCCGTTACTCAGCCAGAAGCACAAGTCAAGCTTTGCATCTGTTTTCAAAAGATTTTATGGTTGTAAGAACTAGTCTATAGATGTATGCAGCAAAGGTGAAGTTTTCCACCTGGAGAGTTATTTAGAGAAGGATGGTGAGCTGTTGCTAAGATGTTAAAGCTCAGAGGTGTTGTTGTCTGCAGGTGGAGGGCGTAGCAGAGCGCGAGCTGCAGTGTCTGCATGACGTGGTGTACGAGCAGGCCGTGTATTGGGTCAACTCTCTGAAAGCTGAGCAGAAAGCTCGCATTGAAGGCCACTTCGGACCAATGCCTGACAAAGACTCTGAACTTCAGGTACACACAGTCTGTTTCTTTTATAGCTTCTATTTCTATATAGTGGGACTAAAGTATCCAAATTTTTCTTCTACTTCATTTTGCCCTTTAAAACCATCTCACTTGTGTGTTTTTTGCTTGCAGGCCAGCCCTAACGGTCCCTCGTGGTGTTGGTGGTTACTAGCAGTTCTTCCTTTAGAGGGCCGAGCTCAGCTACCGTTCCTCGCCCTCACGTCTCTGAGAAACCGTCTCAGCGGCATCCGCAAGGTGCTGCTCTTCATGTCGCAGAACAGGAGCCGGTGACGCGCGCGGCTGACCCTAAAGCAGCAGTTGACCTGCTGTTCTTCCTTTTTGATGCACAAAGAACTGACGCTGAAGGCGTCGCACCTTCCCCGTTCCCCGCCGATGTCATCCAAGCATCAACAGCAAACTTTAACTAAGCAACAGTTGAGATAACTTGGATCTGAATGAATAACAGACGCCTTCCGTCATCACTTTCACAGAGCAGCAGTCCTGGCAGACCCACAAACTCGAGCTGTGTTCAGACAGATCGGGGAGTCTGGCATCACAATTGTCTGTTTAAAACCATCAGTCGTCACGCTGTTACATCACTGTAGTTTGTTGATCATATGCACATGCTAGGTGTACTTTTTTGGTTTGTTTTTTTTGTGTATAAGAAAAAGCTGCTGTGCTGCGATCTCTTAATCTGCCCAGATTGCTACTCTCACCTTTCTGTCTGTCTGCCATGTTTGCAGTTCTCTGCTCTTCCTTTTGCCACACTTTGCAGTTTGGTCAGAGCGTCTTCTAAAAAGATTTGTCAGAAAAACCCAATACGAGTGTCATATATGTGCTTCCTGTCTGAACATCGCCTACAGAGCAAAGACAAATGATCCTCCCAACGAAACAGCCTGCAAATCAAATCATAGCTGGACATGGCGAGTCATTTAACCGACCATGTTTGTCTTTAAGTGTACAAATGAAGAAAGATAAAACCTTAATATGAATATGAAAAATGTACTCTCCCTACATAATATACTCTGTTTACTTCAACTACTCTCTTACCACCTTTAGTGTATCTTGCAATAATTAGTCCATCAGCTCTTCCGTCTTTCCTTCATGGCTCCTCCCTTCTTCCTCTCTCATTCAAACGAATAACAAGAGAATCAGCTTTTACGTTGGTGTGCTTTAAAAGCTTTTTGTTCTTGTTTTATTCATTTTTTTGTATGTTTTGACATTGATTTCCGTTATTTATTCATAGTTTTTATTTATGCATGCAGTGACGTTGTTTACATTTCACAAAAAGAGAGCTGCTCACGTTCCAAAGTCCTCCTCTTTTTTTTTTTTTTAAATTACTTTTTTTTTTAAACTCCACCTATACGCAGCTTTTACAATCAAAAGTGGCACCAACATGAAGCTGGCACGCCCTCAAACCAAACCTTTTTCTAGATGATGGCTGGTGATCCACATTGATTATGTGTGTTGACTTGAACATATTTGGATCCTCGTGCTGTGAGAAGCATCATTCAGCATCATGGACTCACTACCAACAATATTTGGAGTTTGATGCCATTATCTGCTAAATGTATTTATTCAGTATTTATTTGCACTTTTACATCAAATAAGGGAAACGAACATTGCAGGCAGAAAAAAGCAAAGTTCTCTGTTTTTGTTTTTTTAATTAATTTTTTCTTTGGTAAAGGGTGACGCAACAAAGCAAAACACAACTGATGTTTTTTGTAAAGGCCGGTGCCTTCCATCCGCACACAAAGACGATGGTGTGGATCCAGTTGTATACCATTTAAACCAGTTTTAATGGAAAGTTGTTGCTTCCAAATAATAAATTCACAGCAGCATAAAAAAAACAAAAAAAACAAAGCAAAAAGCTTGTCTGGAAACCCGCCATCATATTTTTGAGAAAAAAAGTTGTTTGAAAAACAAATGAACATCGAGGCCTTGCTGATGTCTGTGACGCGACTGTTTTTACACGGCAAAAGCCGATCTCTGACAAACGCCGGAGACTGTTGGGCTTTGCCTTTAGGTTCTTTTGTTTTCTATACGTGTGTTTTGATTTCTACATGTTTTTACGTTAGTTGTATTTGATGATTTTCTTCACTCACCGATGTTTCTGCGTTTCATGTGTGAGAGCACTGGGAAGGCCTAAGCCCTGTCATGAGGCTAATACGACGTGGCTGATAAATAATTTGTCGATAAGGCGTTGATACACTTGCAATGTGACAGAGTCAAACAGCAATAATTGGCCGTGTATTGTGTCTGGCATTGTAATATCCATCCATCCATCTTCATCCGCTTTATCCGGGGCCGGGTCGCGGGGGCAGCAGCCTAAGCAAAGAGGCCCAGACCTCTCTCTCCCCAGCCACCTCCTCCAGCTTATCCGGGGGAATACCAAGGCGTTCCCAGGCCAGCCGAGAGATATAATCTCTCCAGCGTGTCCTGGGTCTGCCCCGGGGCCTCCTCCCGGTGGGACATGCCTGGAACACCTCACCCAGGAGGCGCCCAGGGGGCATCCTTGTCAGATGCCCGAACCACCTCAGCTGGCTCCTTTCGATGTGGAGCAGCAGCTGCTCTACTCTGAGCCCCTCCCGGATGGCCGAACTTCTCACCCTATCTCTAAGGGAGAGGCCAGCCACCCTTCGGAGGAAGCTCATTTCTGCCGCTTGTATCCGCGATCTCGTTCTTTCGGTCACTACCCACAGCTCGTGGCCATAGGTGAGGGTAGGGACGTAGATCGACCGGTAAATTGAGAGCTTCGCTTTTACACTCAGCTCCCTCTTCACCACGACGGACCGGTGCAGCGTCCGCATTACTGCAGCTGCAGCCCCAATCCGTCTGTCGATCTCCGGCTCCCTTCTCCCATCACTCGCGAACAAGACCCCGAGATACTTGAACTCCTCCACTTGGGGCAGGAACTCGTCCCCGACCCGGAGTGGGCACTCCACCCTTTTCCGGCTGAGAACCATGGCCTCAGCCTCTGGCATTGTAATATGTTATGTTTAATTCTTACAGAAGACTGCCTGAACAGATATTTGTACAAACAGATATAACATATAGTCATGTTATATGACTGACCCTCTGTTATGAATGGTAACTACTAATAAAAATGATAGCTCAAACTGGACAGGAAAGGGAATAGTCATCATATAATCATGCATTTGTGTGAAGGTGTCATGCTTGAACCTTTTCACATTAATCAGTCTGGAATATTTAAATAAAGGGAAATTTGCCACATATTCTAAAACAGCACGAGGAGCCAGTTCTTTAAAAAACATTAAAACAAAAATCACAGAAACATAGACTTTGGTTTGATATCTCTGAACGGTCTTTCATTCTGGCAGCAGTTTTAGTGCCTTAACTTTGAATTCTTCCATTTTTACTTAAACGCAGTGGCAACTATGGTGATGTGTTGTGCAATAACTTGGGTCTCTCTTGATAACATAGCATATGTTGTTGCAAATATCACCCTGAAAACTGAAGTTTCACTTCGCAGTAAAACCTTCAACAGCTGGTGCATTTAACTTGAAATAACGCTATGCACTGTGCTAATTTATTCCCATACAAAGAACAAAGAAGAGTGGCCAAGGCAGTTTGTAGCATTACCTTGGGACGGTACACTGAGTAGGGCAAATCTCTGTTGGTGTTTTTGGTCACTTAGCCTCTTCAGCAGGCTGCCCCACTGATGGTGGCTGGAGGTCAAAAGCTCTGCAAACCAACCACTGGCTCCACGGCTGATTTTTGGCATCTAGTAGAACTTAGTGTGACGTAATACCAACATTTCTTGTCCGTCCATACAAAAACCAACCAACTAGCAATAACCACTAATGTGGGCTATGTTTCTATTTTCTTTACATACTTTGGCAAATGTATATTCTGGCTTTCTTGCTGAGTGTTCAGTGAAACCAGACAATTTCCTCTGGCAATCGGCTATTTATAAAGTTAACCGTTAGCTTAGCAGTACACCCCCCCCCCCCCCCCCCCCCTCCTGATATGCCTCACACTTTGTGTTAAACACACATTTTAACAATAAATTGAGCAGTCCCTGATTAATTTATTCCCACTATTTACTTTTTATTCAAATCTAAGATGACCTGTTGCTAGCTTTAACTTTTAACGCACAAACAACATCTCAAACGAGTCATGACAAGAAAGCAAATATAAGATATATTTAAAAAATGTCTAAATGAGGTTAACGTCAGTCATAGGGTAATTGTTGTGACTTAGCCAGTAGTAGCTAAATGCTACAGCCCAATTTATTATTTTTAAAGCACACAGCTTCCTCATGGCTACATTAACTTTAACTAGAGGTACTCAAATTATTACAAATTTTTGTGGGTTTTGAAATTGAATGATGGTTTTGTCACCATGGAGATTCTGTACGCTCAGTCATTCACAGAAGCGAAATGAGAAAAGATGGAACAGCACCGGTTACATTGTCCTGTTGTCAGGGATTGAATCCTTAAAGGTCAAGATGAGTTTAACTGTATCACTTTGATATATTGTAGCAATCCAAAAACTGTGATCATACCAGTCAAATAAAAACCTTTTTTTAAACTAGTTCTCAACATGTAGAAAAAAATACAAATTTGGATCTTCCAGCCATCCAGCTATGCAACAGCAACAGGATGTGTCTATTGCTCACTGATTTCCTGACCTTTCATAATTCAAACACTGACTTATTAAGGAAGTGTAACCGCCATCCTATTTGAGAACTTCCAGAAAGGCAGAAAAATGCTTCCTAGTTTCTTAACAATGTTGTTTCTTCCATGTACAGTTGTGAGACTTTAATCAGTAGTCTACTCTTTTTTTATTTGTGCCCATCAGTCTTCAGATCATGAAACATGTTAGCTTACAAAGCTGTAATATCAAAGGTTTCTGTGTGATGTATTTGAAAAGTGGTTCCAAATGTTTGGTCTGATTTAAGTAGCAACTAATTGGTCTTCCCTAATGGATCGAAAGCTTCTTGGAAAAATACCTGGCTACTGAGGCTGTTTGTGAACTAAAGCACAGACGGTGTCCAGAAAAAAAGGGCAGGAAGGAAATCATTGTCTTGGTATCCTGCCCTGTCTGTTGCTAACCTCAAGAAATGTTCAAGCACTCCTTCGCTTTTCAAATGTACGAACAGACTTCAGTTACTTCATGGCCTGCTTCTTTCAAATGTTATCAAACTAGAACTTCATAACCTCTAAATTTGTCCAGGTGAAGCAAGATGAATGTATGTATGTCTTGACATTTCTTTGATGTTTTCTGTTCACATCAGTTACTGATAGTAAAAAAAGTATGTAATAATTTGCAGAGGTACAGTCTGAAGCAGGAAGTCATGAATAAACTAAAAAAGGTTTTGTTCTTTATTTTGAACAAACTCTGGTGAGGACAACAAGTCTGACATCTCTTTATTTTGTGTGTGTTTGTGTGTGTGTGTGTGCACGTGCATCTGTGATTCTTAGACAATGGCAGTTCAGTTTACTTGTTACATGGCAAGATTTGTTCTGAGGCTTGTCACCTTTAGTCAACAGTTCAGGAGGAAAGAGAGGGCGACAGAGCAGGAGCACACACAGCAAAGGCCTCGGGATCAAACTCAAGCTCAATTTTTACAATTTAGAAATTATAGGGAAAAGTTACTTTTTACAAAAAAAAAGAAGCTTTGCTTTAAAACCATGATCGTTTGGAAGGACATAAAACATACAATTCCAGCTTTCAGTCCCTCTAAAAGAATATGCTTTTTGAAAAAATAAGCTCCTCTGGTTTCTTTAGAGAGCTAAGTCTCGAGAATCTGTTAAGTATAAATGAGAGGTGAGTCTGGCTAGTGTGAAATAGTAACTTATAACAAGGCTTGGGAGCAGGAGCAACAGCTATCCTAACAAAGTAGCACTTCAACTAAATAAATTTCCATCTCTGTCTGGTTTACCTACTAGCTCACTCACACTACAGTAAAAACATGATTGCAACCTTCCTGCAACTGGGAAAAGTCACTGGTTGCCCAGTGGCTGCACTGAGTTGTTCCAATCAGTCACTTTGAACCAATGATCTCAACTCACCCGCGATACATCTCTTTTTAATAGCAGAATTCAACTCAGCTGGTACCACATGGTTAAATTCGTATATATATAAGAAGGGTTGCTAAGCGCCTGAGTCATTTTCATATAAATTTGAAATTAAACTCGGCATCTTGCAGCAACTCTGTCACCATTTGTGGAGGAATTCCTAAATTTCTGTTTCAGATCTATTTCATCCTGGAAAAGATTTGTGATTTTTCACAGATTTATCACAGTTAATTACCACAATATTGTAAACAGATTACAAGTAATTACAAGTAAGAGAAGGCTGTCTCAAGGAGGTGGAGCAAGCCCTTCTTTAAAATGACTATTTAGTAGGCAACAACAGTGCAAATTTATTGCACATGGCTGCAGTAATTTCAACTGCTGTCATTTTGTGCAACTACTTCCGTTAGTTGCATTTTGTGCAACTACCGGAAGTAGTTGCACAAAATAAAACACTGGGTTTTTGGAGGTGTCTGAGTGTGGGTGCAGAGCTTGCTGCTCTGAGATCACTTTACACGCAGACGTGTAGAACTGACCAATGAGGCGCCTGCGTTTAGATGTGACCAACTGTGTTCACAGTTTGATTTGTTCCACGTTTGTTCCACATGTTGCAGTTATCAGTATGAATTCTTGTACCTGGGTTGAAATATATGCAAAACAAGAAACACACACACATGAGAGAGCAGGTCACATGACAGCACAGCATTTTTTACCCACAGTTTAAACTGAATAACAAATAACTTGCAGACAATGAAAACAAACAGAAATAAGCGTAAAATTTAAAAACTTTTATTGAGGTTAACTTTTTTTCATCCATCCATTCGCTACCGCGTATCCTTTTCAGGGTCGCGGGGGGTGCTGGAGCCAATCCCAGCTGTTAACTTTTTTTTTTTAAAGTTATTTAAAAAAAAACAACCCAACAGGCAAACCCCTCTTAGCAAGAACTAGGCGACAGTGGGGAAGAAAAACTCCCTTTTAAGAGGGAGAAACTTCCGGCAGAACCAGGCTAAATGAAGGGCGGCCATCTGCCACATCTACCATTCCAAGGGATTTCAGAGGTTTTAAATTTTAAGAATAGCCAATTAAATTAAATTAAAGTCCAATTAAAGTCCCAATTAGTTTTCCAGGATTAACACAAACTACATCAAACCCAATGGGGGCTTTATCTGCAGGTTGTTTAAGATGTGTGTTTGATTAATACTGGCAGTAGTTTTATATTGGGTGTGAATAGTGATACCAGTGGCATTTACAACCATGTTGTTCACATTCTGCAAGTTTTGTTGTGAAACAACACGTTTTGTGTCCTCTGTGTCAGAGTCGTCTGTGGGTACAGACACAAGCACCCAAGCAATTTTTTGCATTTTTGATTCTTGGGCTTGGATTCAGGTTCAGGAGCTGTCTCCTGTGTCCCTGACTGTGTGTTGGTGACGGTTGATGAATTATTGCCCATTTTAATATCTATTTGTTTGCTGATAAATTGTCTCTTTCTTAAAGCTAGCGTTTGAAAATCCACTGTTACAGAGTGGTATTTATGGGCTCGGTTTTAACTTACCGGTAAATCCTTTTCCGTCTTTGACGTCTTCAGTGTCTTTGATCTTAACTCTGCCCACTAGAGATTTCTAAAATATCGTAATTTGGTTCCCAAGCATAAATGATATATTTAAAGCTATCTTGGACAGGAGAAAAGTATATATTTCTTAGACAATGTGAAATCTGCACAAAGATAACAGTTTCATGTCATAATATTCGTAAAGCTACCATAAAGCTATATTAACAATGGTGCTGTAAAGTTGTTAGCAGTGTGTCAGCTTGGCGACCTGCCACAGAGTACCTCTTCCCCACTGTTTGTATTTGGTCATAGGAGCTGGAGTGGGCAAGCTATTTACTTGGTCTTTCTTTCTTTTACCTTTTATTATTAGGTATGTTGGATTTCATGTTGTTGTTTTTTTAATCTTATGTCAAATATGTTACGTGTAAATTCATACTTTATGTTTAATGTAAAAATAAATGCAGGCCCTTTTCTACAATTCCCCTGTGGGAGAGGAACTGGAGTGGGCAAGCTACTTACTTGGAGGTCTTTTTTTCTTTTACTTTTTATTATCAGACACAACGCAGGAACACACCGGTTAAACACACACATCACAAAATAATAATAATAATAATAATAATAATAATAATAATTATAGTCCACACTGCTCACGGACCCCGAGTCCCCGGAACCGGGTCCGTGGCAGTTACTTCATTTAAAGATCAGAAATGAAGTAAAGCTTTTTACATATGTAAATGTCACTCAACCATCCCTTTTATTATGGATACCCAGGTGCTACAATTTTGCCTATGTCATACAAGATTAATATAGGGTTATAGAGTGTATAAAAGGCCCCAAAGTTCATAGAATAATGCTATTGTTGTTTATAAGTTTATATAAGTTTATCTACTGGTCATTTAATATTCAATCTTCTGTCAGTTTGGGCCAGCCCACCGTTTGGTGACATCATCCGGTTAGTAAGGTGGGCAGTTTAATGTCGGATGAGCAGTGTTGGTCCGGTGGGGGTGCACTGATTCCTCTGGGATGTTATGTGTGCGTGAATGATAAGTGAGTATTAACCTGTGTTGCATTTTGCCTTTGTTTATGCTGATACAGTACTATGTTTACCATTTAGGAGCTAATGTTAGTTCACAGTTGGAGCGGGGTGCAACGCGGGAGGTCATCCCCTTTTCATATGCTAATTTATGTTTGTTAGCTTATCCTGGTTTAGCTTTACTTGACGCCTGTACGGTCTGTCATGTCCATAACGTCATTCCTGTCTTATCAGAGCTTCTCTGTATGTTGTATGTGGTGCTTGTGATTGTTTACTTGATAATACAGAGTTTGTAGCGGACAATTTGTTATGAGGATCGTTAATTGCCGATCGTAGTTCGACCGGAAGTATCACGTTCCCGCTTGCCCTTCATAATAAGAGCATTACGGCGGATTATAATGGGAAAGCTCTTCTACAATGATTTTCATTTCAGAGAATGAAATGTCCATGTGTTTGCTGCTGCTGCATCATTTTATCCAACTCTACATATCAGTGTTTGATATGAACTCATTTAGAGCTACCATGGGGTAGCAGTGGAACACCTCGGATCCACATTTGTGCAGACTGCACTGTCAGTGGAAGAGTGAGAGAGATGCAGTTATATATTATCAGTTAGCTAACCAGTAACACAGTTAGTAAATTGAATCGCTCTTTAACAGCAGTTCAAGTTATCAGGTTAACTGAGTCAAACCTAAATGGCTGATCCAGTAAAGGAGCGTTAGGTAGACCCTACAATAATACATACTGAGAAAAACCCAACAATCATATGACCCCTTATGAGCAAGCACTTTGGTGACAGTGGGAAGGAAAAACTCCTTTTTAACAGGAAGAAACCTCTGGCTGAACCAGGCTCAGGAAGGGGCGGGGCCATCGCTGTGATTGGTTGGGGTGAGAGAAGGAAGACAGGATAAAGACATGCTGTGGAAGAGAGACAGAGATTAATAAAAAGTATGATTCGGTGCAGAGTAGGGCTGTGCGATATGACCAAAATCTCATATCCCGATATAAGACATCCATCGTCCCAATAACGATATAAATCACAAAAATGTAACATTTTCTGTGAATTTCGGGCAGCTCGACTTGCGTGAAGTGTTTCCAGCTGGGTGTCGTGTACCTGGAGTCGAGTGTTTTAACCGATGCATGAAACGATACATTTTTAGACATAAGTTGTAACGGCCGCCGTTTTCTTTGTGAGTATTTATTACACGGCGTGCTGCAGGGAAAAGCCTGTTCTAACGTTTGAGTCTAAGGTTTATTTTTTAGCACCTGACGGCTCTTTTTTACTTCTCATCCGTAAATACTCTGCATACTCTTTCACGTGATTCAGTTTATTTTGAAAAGTCTCAACAGGATCTTGAGCTTTATTGTGAAAGGTTTATATGGAAAATAAACAAGCGGACACGCGATGGTTTTACCGTCGTTGTTGCTAACCACAACGCATAAAAACAGGCGCTTGTCCGTCCGTAGTGTGGTTATATAAAATATAAGAGAAAGAGAGAACTTTAAGAAATGAATATAGCCACTACAGTGACCATCAAAACAGTGAAAAAATATTGTCATAAACAGTTTATTTTGCGACACCACGAAACAAACAATAGCATAAAATGAAGCGATAGACGTTTTTATATCGTCATCCGATATATATCGTTATATCGAACAGCCCTAGTGCAGAGATGTATGCAATATACATATACTGTATGTAAGAGACACTAGAGATTTTAGAGAGAAAAAAAAAGTCCAGATTTTTTGGTTTTGTAGCCAACACCTGTGAAAGTGACACCAAGTCTCCGATATGTTTGAATAATGCAAACTGCTAACACTAAGCTGAAAGATGGAGACAGAGGGGAAGCTGGGCAGACGCAACAACTGTTTATGCAAGCAAAGCAAATATACGTCAGACAGTCAAACTTAAAAAGAGATAGCTCTTCAATATAATTACACTGCAGACAGCTTAGTGCAATCACATAAGGAATGATTCCAATGTATTCTGGCATCAAGAACTCAGAGTCAAGAATTTCTCACAATAACCAGCTTAAATGGAAATCTAATTCCTCTAATAAATATTTACTGTGTTTTCATCATCGGAGTAAAGAACAGCAGGCCTTCCTCCGCAGTCTGAGAAAGTTATTAAATTTCTGTAAATGTGACCTTCTGTTAAAAGCTGCGCAACACTGTTAGCTACATCAGTACAATACTGGGGGGAGGATTGTGCGTCTGTTCCCGACATCAAACATAACTGGATGAAAGGCCACAGATTCAATTTGTTGCTTATATGTTACGGTGGCCCTGAGAGGTCAAACGAACAGACACTAAAGAAAACACAGACAAACAGAAAAACACTGCAAAAGCACACAAGATGTAGCAGGAGTTGAATAAAGTGCAAAAACAAAATCTTTGTAAATGAAATTAGCAGTGTATAAAAAAAGAAATCAATCTGTCGGACTAAGAGGTTAAATAGATCAAACAATTTGAATAAAAATTGTTATTTTTATTGAAAAAGATCCAAAATGAAGATCCCACCTGTCCCAGCACTTCCTACCTTGTTTGTGTCAAGTCCATTTAATTCGTTTGAAGATCTAAGTTATTTAAAAGTTGTTACACATAGAGATAAATATCAGTTACTATCAATGCAGGGTTTCAGTTTCCACTTCCATTCATAGATTTTGCCACTAACAGAGCATGACACAGACCTGAATAAATATAAGTAGCATCTTCTGAAGTCCACTAGAGTATGTAAAACTGCTCATTTAGCCCCTCTGGATAAATGACTGAGTAAGTGTTCCAGCTTTTTTGTGATGAAATATGATCAGAAAAAGAAAAAGAAAAAAGACAGAAACTGGAAGGAGGGGAGATAATTTAACCTCCTCGGTCCACGAGTGGAAACAAAGAGTTCACTGATAGGAGAACAGGTCAGCTTTCCCTGCAAGCGTAAACCAGCCAGGATTGTCATACTCGTGTTAATTGAAATTCAGAGTCACAGTGGTGATCAAATTCTCAGATATAAGGTCACTGGAAAAAATGACAGCTAGAGAATTTGACCTCATGCAAACTGGGCTCATTACAGTTTGCACACAAAAGTCTGAGCGAGGTAAGAGCGGTCTGACAAATCCAAACACACGTTGTAAATATGTATCAGCTTATATGTGACGATCTCAGAGTAATATCAGATTTATTTAAAACTGTAAACGGCAGTATTAATACGTCTGCAGTCAGCAATCTTTAATATTTTTAGATAAACATTAAATTCAAAGCTCGTAAGTGCCTGTAGCAATGAATCTTCATAAAAGTTTTACTCAAAGGTTTGTATAGAACGCTGGAGGGTGTTTACACGTCTTTTCTGTAAATGTTTTCATTTTGAGTTAACATCACCACTTCCATTAGCATGATTTCACTGAAATCAGGCAGCTGTTAGCAATAGACATGATTTAATAGCATAGACTGTCCATTGTGATGTCACCCACTGGTCTGTGAACAAATTTTTTAAGTCTTTAGCCGGCAGTCTTAGTCTTTGTTATTTGGTTTATTTTAGCTAATGGTACTGTTAGCTAGCTTGCTTTGCAGGGTTCATCTGTAAAACTGTGACATTACCTGAGGTAGGGGCCGAGTGAAAAACAGGCTTAAACCAAAATTGCAATGGTAAACAGCTTTCAATCTGGTCGCAACAAAGAGGTTCCCAAACAGCTTGCCAGCTCCTCCTGCTGGTGGCAGCTGAGGCTGTGTGGGTAGGATGGTGCTAGAGGAGTAAACAGCTGGCTTCTCAGCATCTTTAGCATAACAGACACTAAAGGTAAGCAAACAGTATCTAACTGTCACTTAAAACAGCCATGTGACAATAGCACATATCATGATTAATTAAATTTAATTAAATTCAAATTTCAGTTACTAAGAAGAAAAAAACAACAACAAAAACAGACTCCTGATCAGGAAAAACTAAAGAACTTGGCTGGTGGAGACCAAAACTGAGTGTTCTGGACCTGAAACTGTCACGGTGTTTTTGGTTTAATATTATTTGTTTATTATTGTTCTTGGTTTTGTTTATCCTTCTTCTTAAGCTCTCAGTAATCTTAGTTCTCCCTCCCTCAGTGTTCATCTTAGCCTGTGTTTCGTTTCTGTTCTCATGTCCCACTTTTCATGTCTAGTCGTCCCTGTCTCTATGTTTCCTGTCTCCCCAGTCAGCCACGCCTCCTTGACATGCCTGTGTCTAGGGCTGAACGATTATGGAAAATAATCTAATTGCAATTTTTTGCCCCAATATTGTGATTGCGATGCGATATGCGATTATTTTTTAAGGTCTTTGTCTTCTGTATTATTAAACAAAGACAAGCAATACATCATATAGTATGGCCAATACTATATTACATTAATTTTAAACTGTTCTTTCCTGGAAGACAGACCTCTGTTATGATGACATGAGGTGATGCATGAATTGATGACTGACATTTTTATTTAACTTCTTCAATCACAACAGTATATTTGAACATACACAATAGTTTATTTTTAGCTTACAAACATCTGAGCATAAAGTGCTGACAAGGAACCCTGGTGTAAACATTAAAATGAAAGTCAGTACAATGTGCAGATTGCAGAAATATACATAAAAAAAATCAGTGGCTTTACCACACTCAGTTTTTCGACATCTGTGAACTACTAGACAGTCATTCAATTAAAAAATAATATTAAATAAATAAAACTAATAAATAAAAAATACACACATCTTACTGATCTCTGCAGTCAGTAACATTACACATAAAGTGCAAACATAATAGCAATCCGATTGTTCAGTCTGACGTCACTAGCCGTGTCTGGGTCTAAACTCTGCTGCAGGTCCATATATCAAACAATCACTATGGCATTACTGAGAGTTGAAAAACTGTCTAAAGTCTTCCATCTTTAATAAAATGATCAGCGTTCTGCTCTACCGGGTGTAACAATTGAGTTTAACATCCAGGCATCCATGAAAACTGAATTTATGACATTTAACGGAGTTAGAAGTTAGCAGGAAGTTAGCTCGCTAGCTTCTATCCAAATACAATATAGCATGTCCTGACTGCGGGGTTTTGGAAACAAATTAAAACGTACAGCTCTGTTATCACTTCCAGCATAAATGAAGACAGAAAACTAAATAGCAGTGACGTTTGTAGGGTTACTGAAGTTTGGCTAGCTGGTATATAATGTGCTACGTGCTTGCGACACAGCTATGTTAGCATAATATAAACAAGCTAACTTTTTTTCCCACTCGATAAAAGTTAACGTGAGTGTTCTCGGTGGTCAGGAACAAATGTAATCGCATGGCAGGATGCTGTAAAAGGACCAAACTTCAGCCAGGAGAACAACTGAGATAATCCATCCACAATACGAGGTTAGTCATTCATATACTGCTGCATGGGCTGGGCTGTAGTTACATCCTAAGGTTTTAAAAACTGAGCTTAAATAAATGATTAGCGGTAATAAAAGCCGAGGGAGGTCAACAGTGATCACTGACTGTTTTGGGAGCTTTTTGAGATTAAATAGAAGAAAAGACATAACATTAAACATGTTAACAACACAAAAGCCATATTAAATGCAGACTACTTTAGACCCGGAAGTAGGATTCGTCGCGTCATCACTGAACAACCGGATTGTATAAACACACACACAAACACGCCTTTAAAATTTAAAGGCGTGAAATTGGACGGTCTAGTTCTGATTAGCGTCACCGCTGTCTCGGTGGAGTTTAATAAACTCGGCCGTCTGCTTCTTGCTATCTAAAATATAACCAGACACTGGTGTAAATTCTCGACTGTCTCATACTTCTGTTTAATAAGTTTTCTGTTTGACGTTTAGTCAGCTGTGTGAAAACCAAGGAGGAACCCACCCGGGGGATTAATAAAGTTTTATTTTATCTAATCTAATAACTTTAATCCCAGCCAAACCGATTTACTCACGAACAAACAAAACACTGAAAAAAGCCCAACAATAACATTTTTAGGTTGTCTAAGTGACTTATATATTACGTTTAACCCGAGCAGCGAAACTCCGCGGTGATCTGAAAATGATGTGCCGGGAGTTGTGCCGCTCTCGGTAACCCTCGAGCTCCCGGCTAGCTGTCGAGCTGGTGGGTAGCAGACGCCTCTGAAAACGCCGAAGCACTTTTGCAAATATGGGATATCTTGATAAACCGAGCAGATATTTGATGTTTACACAACTACTTTCTCGCCTGAAAATATGTTAAAAGTTTATTTTGTGACCCAGAAAGATTAGTATGAGTAATTTTAAAACTTAGTAGCGGCCGCCATTGCTGGAAACTGGAGTTTGGCTGGGCCGCGCTATGAATTCTGGGATATGGTAGTAATTTGGACAGCCTTCGGCACGTCGCTGTGACGTAATCGGTCTACAAATGCGGCCTCAGGAGGATGCAGCCCATGAATTTGGACATGTCCAGAGTATAATCGCAGCCTTTGCGGTTAGAAAATTGCACTTGATCATGTCGCGATATTATCGCAAATGCGATATATCGTTCAGCCCTACCTGTGTCTCCATGCCCGTCTTGTGTTTTCCTGTTTTACTTTGATAGTTTCGTGTCCCGTGTTCAGTGTTTTGCTTCCCCTATGTCTCATTATGTCTTATTAGCCCCAGCTGTGTTTCCCTCCTGTTTCCCCATTCCCTCGTTACTCGCTTGTGTATTTTAGCCCTGAGCGTTCCTCTGTCCATTGTTGCATTGTACACCCTCTTTGCTTTGTGTAACTTGTGGGCTCCTACTAAATTCCTAGTTCTCCATTTCCTTGTTTAGTTCCTTAGTTTTTTGCTTTTAGTTTCTTATTTCTAGTTCCTAGTTTTCAGTTTGGTTTCCTGTAAACGTGTAGAATTATTTTCAGCAATAAAGTTGCTGCTTTCAGTCAGCTTCCCCTGTTTGAGCCCTCCATGCTGCGACACAGCAGTACCTTGACAGAAACATTGTATTTGCAAATGTCATAAGTTAATGACAGGGAAATCTTGTGTTCACAGGTTATTTCACTGCTTTGCAATATTGTAAAATGCCATCCATCCATTTTGAGCTCTTTTACCAGTGGTGTTCATTGGTGCAGCTGTCCAAACAGGGGCACCCAAACATCCCCTACCCAACTTCACCAGCTCTTCCAGATGAAAGTCAAGTCACCTGAAGGACGTTCTCTCTCTAGCTTGTCCTGGGTCCTCCTCCTGGTGGTACATGCCCACAGTGCCATACCTAGACGGTTCCCAGAAAACATCCTGATCTCAAACCCAAACAACCTCCACTGGCTCCTTTCAATGTGGGGAAGAAGCGGCTGCTCTTTGAGACCCTACCTAATCCCTACACATAATTTTCAGCATAGATGGGGACAGGAAGGTAGATCAACAGCTTCATTTCATTTCACGTTCAGCTTTCTCATCACTACAACAACAAGTACAACATCACCATCACTGGTTAACAGGAAAGGATGGTTTAGTAGTGGAAACCTCTGCCCACGGCTTGTCTGTCTACCTGCAGAGAGCATCTGCTGTCAGATCACTCTATCCACCAATCAGCATTGGATCGATGCACAATGACGCTCATGTCGAGGATCGTGCAGTCGGGATCATGGAGCACTGCATGGAAGCATGTTTACACTGGCTGAACATTTCTCTCTGTAAGCACATACACAAAAGAACAATCGCAGCACCAGATATTAACCATTATGCAACACCAGTCTGTCAGCCTCATGCTCCACTGTCCCCTCAGACCATGAGATACTTAAACTCTTCCACATGGAGCAGGAACTCAGAGTGGACGCTCCACCCTTTTCCTACTGAGAACTACGACGTGAGACTTTTAGTCAGAAAATATTTATGTTTAAATCTTTGCACATTTATAATATTTGAAGTAATTTTATGATCCAGTTCAACAGACCAACTTACATCACGCTCTGTTGCCCAGAGATCAACTTGGCCACACAATATAAAGTTACACTAGTCAATAAAACACTTTTAAAGGCTTTGTTGTGTTCTACTCATCACTCCTGTGTAAGTGAACGTCCAAATTTATGATGATATCTTTATAGCAGTAAGAGTTTCAGAGCAGGAGGATTTTTCGGTGACTTCTTAGAAACTGTAGTTCCCCGAGTCGACCTCAATACCACTGCCCCTCCACCCACCTCCTCACCTCTGTGCCTCTGACTCCTGCCAACTCCGTTGGTTATATAACCTGTAAATGAGAAGATCAGCACCCAGCTGTCATCACTATGGATACCTGGCATGGACTCACACACGCACTGTACATCTTGGCGGGTCCACTTTGCATGTGTGCTGTAGTGTGTGTATCAGAAGTAGGGCAGCCGCGGTGTTACCTAACTCGTCCAGAAAAGACATCTGGGGAGTTGATTACAGCTTCCTGTGCGCAAACAAAAGGCAACCATCAATCATACGCATGCAAGCGGCCCGCTCACACCCGTTCATGTGAGCAGGCGCGCACAAACATTTGGCTCACATTTTGGCCACACACAAGGAGAAAGGCACACAAACAAATAAAGGCCACATGTTTGCAGGCATGCGTACACGCCAAGACGGTCAAGTGAGTCCATGAGGCCGCGTTTGGGAGAAATTAAAGAAAAGTTTTTGCTTGAAAAATGAGCCTAAGTTTCACTTAAACAATGCAGGGAAAAAAAAATATGTTACCCTACTGTACAGATCGACGTCTCGAGTGTTTGATCAGTCCACTCTGCCATAAATCACCCACAGTGGGATCGACTCGCTTGTGTTTTCTGGACTAATTTTCACATTAAGCTATTTTCCATCTGCAATAATTCCACTAGTTTAGAATCTAATCCCATTTCTTTGCTTGTTTGATGCTTACAGTAAGAGGATTGATAGTTAGGAAGGCATCAGTCTGTTACAAGAAGCACATCTGAGTCGTCTGTGTGCAAAAATTAACAATAACAACGGCATTAAAAGCAATTGAAAATAAAATGATTGTAAATATGTGAAACATGTTTTTAGCTGGCGTGCTGATGTAAACAGATGTGTTTTGAGCTTCTGATATGAGCCAACAAGTCTGAAGTGAGGCGCTGTCAGGAGAGCAGCTGAAGCTGAGCGGAGGAAAGATGACGTTGTGCCAAGTCAGAGAGCTTTCAAAGGCAGAGGAGCAAAATCTTGTATTGGATATGTTGAGAATGTGGAGCTGGATGAGAACTGGCTTACTGGCAGACTATACCAGTGAGGACTCATTTTATCTCTGTTTTGTTGCCAATATTTTAAAACTCATACTTGGTTGGTTTTCATTCATATTTTAAACATTAAATGAAATTTCTTTTCACTTTTTTTAAATTTCTGTGATCTTGAGCCTTAAAGGGACACTGAGATAGTGCTCCTGATGCAGTTCAGTAAGGAAGCAGTCACTGTAAACATGCATCCCATCAAACAACCTGACAAAACACCGACTGTGAGCTTGATCTCAGTCAGTCCTGAGCAGCACTTACATCCCAGTTAAAGACTTTGAGTCCGGAGACCACACTGTCAGCTAACCCTGACCTTCATTGTGTGTTTTTTTATCTTCGACTACAAACCTGTAAAGGCGTCGTTGGTGTGTATGCACGGTTCTGATTTTATTGAGATGCCATCATCTGTCTACAAACACAAACCAGCCAAAGAAGTTAAAGCCTTCTTATGATTCACTTCCTGTTTTTGCTTGAAAAGGTTTAAATGTGATGACACATGGAGAGAGTGAAGAAGAAGAAGAAGAAGAAAAAAAGCTACCAAAACTACTACTGAAACTCACAAAGACGCCTCCTGCTTCCAGAACCATTAGGTGGTGTGGCTGATCCGCAACTATATGGCTGCCATAGTGAAATGTGAGGATGTGATGGATGTTAAGAAAATACACACAACCAAACTGAAGTTTTATTCTACAGGAAATAAAGAACAACAGGTCACACATCCTTTAAGATCAAATCTGCAAAGTTAAAGAGTTAGGGATTAGCAGTGGACCAAACCACTATTAGGCCTGTGGGGGTGGTAGGGTGTCTGTTTTAAAGCCTAAAACCATTATGTGAAGGTGAAAACACAACCAGGCCGTGGAAAGGAATCTCGATAATGTCAAAGTCCGGGGAATGAAAATGCTGTACCGGTGTGCCCAGCCTGCGAGCGTCGGACACACCGGTCATATTTGTTTTAAAGGGTTCAAATCAAACTAAAGTTTCACAGTTAAGACATCACATTTCCAACTGTGCTCCACTTCTGATGTACAAACAAACAAACAAACACAGAAACATGCTTTATAATTTGTTCTTTACTGCGCATTATTATGTACAAGACAAATTCTCAAAAGGCAATACAAAACGAGTATCACATATCTGCATATGCTTACTGCCAGACACACTGAAACGACACAGACGACGCATCCAGCAGCAAACCCAGCTCTAAGTGCCTAAGTAGCTTTATACTTATGTTTCATTTACACTGGAAAAGGATTCATAGTCGACAACACTCTGCAACGCAGCGATGCATTAAACAATTTCAAACAGATGACTGAACGCAGCGGCAGCGCTCACTGATTATCAGCTTTTTGGGGGCGGGGTTTGGGAGATTTCTGCAGGATACTTGGAGTTGATCAAAATATCAAAAAGAATTCAAAAATATCAAAAGTGAAAATGAAAAAATATAATTTACACGGACGAGTGTCCACGGACCTGATTGGACGTGCTTCTCTTAAAGTAGATTTAAAAACAAAGAACAGCTCTGGATTTAATCCTCATCTCACTCTCAGACCACGGACTATTCCATTTTCCTCAAATATATCAGCATTTATACCTGCCTTATAATAAACACACACACACACACAGGCCGGCAGCATCGTGTAGGTCCATTCTTAAGAACGAACAGAAGATTTTTTCTGTTACTTTATCATCGTTCTGGGTAAATGAAGTGTTCTCATATAAAAAAAACATCTCTGTGCTCCCTTTCCTGAAATGTTTAGTGATGTGAAGTGGATTCATCCGAGTTAAAGTTAAAACGTACTGGTGTGAGGCTGCAGGTGTCTCATTCCGGCACCTCATCCCAAACTACGAATCTTTAAAAGCAACCAAACAAACAAAGAAAAAAAATATCCTCCTCGAGTAAGACGCGTTAACTTTCGGGGTCCTACCGTGTCATTTAGAAAACAGAAATGAAGGAGTAAAAAAGAGCCTGCCTTCAGCTGTGGAGCTGGGCATTTTACACCAATCTAAAGCCTGAAGCTCAGGATTAAAAGATATTTGTGTGCAAACCGGTTCTGCTCCATCCTGGAGCCTTTCAGGTCCCACGGGGGGCGTGGTTTCTCTAAATCTGACCTGGCCTGTCACTGGACTATCTGGGGCATCTCACTCCAGGCTTTGGCTTTCTTCTTGGCCAGCGCCATCCAGGGGGGCTCGTCCTGGGCCAGAGTTGTGGGAGGCAGGTTTCGCTGGGAGGGCGGCGTCTGTCCAGGAAGCCCCGGCGCTCTAAGGACGGGCTTTTCCGAGGCGGTCCTCGATGGAAATGGGGAGCAGGTGAGCGGAGTTTTAGAGGGAGATGACGGAGTAGCAGGAGATTTTGGAGCGTCTGGTGTTGACAGGCATCGCTGAGGGGGGTTAGGTTGTGGTGGATACTTTTCTTGGGGTGGTGGGACATAGGGTTTGGGGGCAACACAGGGGAGGGGCTGGGATTTTAAAGGCTGAGGCGGCACTGGAGTCGGAGGAGAGAAAGGCCTTCTGGCCTCCTTGTCTGGAGACACTGACGGCTTGCTCATCTCCAAATGAGCCCCTGCGAGAAAACACACACACACACACATAAACAATAAACCCGAGGAGAGACTTTGACAGAAATGTATTTTAAAGTTAAAGCTCACAGACTATTTACTTCTGACCTCTGTAAATAGTCTGAAAGACTTCAATACTAACTTCAGGCTGTTGTGCAACACCACCTTTCACTGTACACCACCCACGTGAGGCCAAGATAGTGTCTAGTGTTTTCTACACTGTATTGTTTATGTGTGGATTTCCGCTAAGTTGTTATGTACAATCATTACAATCAGCCTCCAACACAAAGTGTTAATTATTTATCTACTGTAGCAGAGGCTGACCAGACGAGGGCAGCAGTGCATAGTGAAACAGACATTTGCTGAGGTACTGCACAAATGATGAAGGAGCCTAATGAATGGACTGTGTGTGTGTTTGCATGTGTGTGCATGCAGACCTTTGCCTTTGGTTTCAGCTGTTTTGGTGCCTTGCTCCTTGCTTGCAGCTGAGCAGACGTATGTTGGAAGTGAAGACTTTCTCTCTTGGTCCTCCTGAAAGAGCAGCAGCAGAACAGTCACATACAGATCACGTGGTGGCGGCGTACTCTGCACGCATGCATCCTGTTTTTGTGCATCTCTGTAGGTCTACCTTCTTGACAGTGATCTCCTCCAGTGAGTTTTCCTTATAGATCTTCTGCTTCTGTTTGGCCACAGAGATCCAGCTGGGAGGATCAGATCCAGTAGAAACAGCGCGGCCCGCAACTGAATCTAAATTAACAGCACACACAGTTGTTACGCCACAGGCTGGCTCGCGAGCTGCTTTCTTACACTTGTCGAGTTCAGGATTGTTACGCTCGAGCAGATTAATACGGCGAGGCTGCGCAGCGCTCCTGTGATCTTGTCCGTGAGCAGTTCGAGCGGTCTTTAGTCTGAGCTGTGGCCATGTTTAATATGAACATCCACCACTGACACAGCGTATACATGACAGAAGCAAAGAAGAAGCATGATAATTCCTCTTTAAGTAAAGATGAACGTGGACACACACCTGAGACGCGCTTCAGTTTCCCTCCACTTTCAGCTTGAACCTCTGGCTTCTTAGGCAGCGCAGGTTTGATGCTGACCGGTGGACAGATGGAGGGCTTAACACTGACTGGCTGCGGGGAGTCAACTTTAGAGCTGGGTGGCTGAGTTTGTGACTCAGTCGGAGGCTAAAGGATAATAAATAAAACACAAATAATACATTTGACATGAATTTAAGCTTAAAGTTTCAGGTTTCCTGCATCATGTTTGAGAGGTAAGAAGTTCAGAGTGTCCTAGAAACCCTTAAAAAGCTTTTCAATCACCTCTGTGTTTTCCTCCTCTGAGCTGAAGCGCAGCAGAGCCGAAGTCTTTCTCAGCCGAACTCCGAAGGGATTGTCCGGGTTTCCCTCTACAATCACTGAGCTCTCTGCAGGTGGCAGCGTAAGAAAAAGTGGTTATAATTTACCCTCCTGTGATACAGATTAGGACACTTCAGACAGCAAACATCCAGTGTTTGCAAGGTTCACTTTAAAGCATACACAGCATGCACGTGCTAGTCCAGTAAAATCAGCCTCATCTAAACACAACCGAAGTGGATCCTGTCCCTGCAGAAAACGGCTTCATCATCTACCATCACACATGTTCAGCGCTCTTACCTTCAATGCTCGCAGAAGTAGAGATCTTGGGTGGAGCCGGTGTCACACTGCTTTGTGGTTTGGCGGTTTTCACCCTACTGGGGCTCAGCACCAACTCGACCTTTGGTGAAGTCGCCAGTTCTGCTTTCGTGACCGAATCCTCGGTCACAGTCTCCGGCTCCTCGCAGCTGGATGGTGCGACAGCGAAGGGGGAGGAGACAGAAGCAGGTGGGGAAGGAGGAGGGTTCAGACTTTGTGATCTCTGCCAGGCGGGAGCGATCGTGAAGCGGACTTTAGTATGATCGGGGCTGCAGGGCGGCTGGCTTGTCTTTTCCTCAGCCGGTGCAGGAGATGCAGCGTCTTGATGCGTTTCTTCTTCTTCTTCCTCCTCCACACCGTCAGCTTCCTCTTTATCTGCAGAGGTGGACTCTGTGTCATGTGAAGCCGCTTCACTGGCGCTGTCACTGGAATCTGCAGCAGCTGGAGGCAGCTGGAATAAAGACGTGGCTTTTTCTGAGCTGGGAGAAACTAGATTTATGTGGACGATCGCTGTGCTGGTCTTGGTGGGACTCCTGGCCTCGCTCTTTGGTGACTGCAGGGACAAAGGAGGAGGCTCGGGGGAGCCGTCGTCTTGTTCTGCGGCTTCACTCGGACACTCCTCCATCTGTTTAGTGTCTGACTGCGGCGTTGCTTCCTCGCTCTCCAGCTCCTGTTCGCTTTGATCTGCATCACTCTGGCTCCCTCCCACACCTTTCTCCGATTGGTCTAACCCCACGCTGAGGTCAGCCCCCTCCTCTACTGTGTCTTCTCCCTCTTCAGTCTCATCTCCAGAGTTTTGGTTGAAATCTTGCTCCTTCTGCTCCGTGGTGAGTCCTTGATCGCTCATCTCTGCTGGAATTTGATCATCATCTTTGAGTTTTACAGCGCACACTGCGTCACCTTCAAGCGCCACACCTTCATCCACCTCCTGCGCCACCACCTGAACTTCTTCACCCGGCGTATCCGGAAGCATCTCAGGCATCTCTTCTGCGCCTCTCTCCTCTCCTTCCACTGCTTCCTCTGCCTCCTCCACTTCTGTCCTTTCAGTCGTCTCGACTTCCTCATCCTCTTCCCTCATCTCCCGCCCTTCCTCCTCCATTTCAGACTTCTCCAGCTTGATTGCCTCCTCCTCGTCCCCTCCCTCACTCTCCCCATCTTCTTGTCCCACGTTGTCGTCACCTGCCTGGCTGATAGTTTGGCATGAGAGCACGCTGTCGTCCTCTTCAGGCTTGACTTCTACTGCCTGCTCTTCTCCTTTTTCCTCATCCTAGCAAGTGAAAAAAAGGGAATGTGACTGTGGCTAAATGGCATGAATGAGATTTAAGAAAACATGATCACATCCATCCATTTGCTTCCGCTTATCCTTTTTAAGGGTCACGAGGGGCGCTGGAGCCTATCCCAGCTGCCTTAGGGCGAGAGGCAGGATACACCCTGGACAGGTCGCCAGTCTGTCGCAGGGCTAACACACAAACACAGACAGTGCTCTAGACTAACTTTTTGACATGGGTTGCAAAGTTAGGTTGTACGCCTAACTCTAAAAATTTAGGTGTACCGGCACAAAAGTTAGGCGCACTCAAATTTTTCAACCGCATCGCTTAACACCGCAGTTTTACATGTGCACTTTCTTTTGGGGGGGGGGAAGTCCATACAGACAATATTCATTTCTAAATTATTAACTAACAAACGTGTGCTTAAAGTGCTTTGTCAATATTGTAGAAAATGTTAAACTTAATCATCATCTCGGCTCCTCTGACGACCTGTTTGCTGCTGTCTGTTGCTGAGAGGCAGTTGGGAGAGGGGACACTTGGGCAGTGCATTTATTGCAGCATATAATGTGTTTTCTGGATACACTGTGCTTTTTCAAGATTGATGGCACTGTGTCAGAGCACTGGCTATGACGGTTCAGGCCTTAACTTAACAAAAAAGTTATCAATCGTTCTTTTCATCTTTTCTCATTACCCACAGCTACATCCACTTCTGTCGAGCGTAGGCTGCTCACTAGGGCTGGGTATCATTGCTGATTTCCATAATCCATTCGATTCCGGTTCTCAAAGTCCTGATTCGATTCAATTTAGCCTCAGACAGTCAGAAATATTATAATTCTGATCATTTATCAGTACTGGTACATGTGAGACTTCATCAGAATTGTGAACATCACAGCAGATGCCTTTATGTGAAAGTAACTGAGAATAAAACACAGGAAAACATGAAGGAGATTTTCCTGGTCTGGCTTTTTATAGCAGATAACCTTAAAAATATTCTGCAATTTTGCATGATTTTAAGAAGTTTAAATTTCTTCAGTATTGAACAGCAGAAATTAGGCTTTCTTGTCCGAGGTCATTTAAGTGAAAAAAGAAAAAGACAGCGCTGTAAACAACGGTAGACTGGTGGGTAATAAGCAAATGAATAATGCAGAAAACAGATTTGAGACGGGACACTGTTCTTAAAGTACACACACGTTCATTAACGGATTCCACACAAAGACGTAAACACAGAGCGGACCCGACGTATCAGAATCGCTAAGCTCCAACAGCGCGTCCGTGTAAAGGCTGTCGGGTGAGAAAGCCGAGAAAGACAAAGCTGATTCTGATGCGTCGGGTCCACTCTGTGTTTAAGTCTTTGTGTGGAATCCGTTAATGAATTGATATCACCTTATTCAAACTACTCACCTCTCTCTTCCACCTGCACTTTCAACTGGACCACGGCCAATCAGAGAGGTCCCGCCCCTGACTATCTCTGATTGGTTTAGTCCACGATAAAGTGTGTCTGTTGTTGACCACACGGAGAGTTGCAGAGATTTTTTTTTTTTTTTTTGTTACCCGAACAGTTGGTCGCACAGGTGCCACCAAATTATTTTTTTTTAGTCGCACCACTGAAAAATTTGGTCGCATTTGCAACCAAATTGGTCGCACTCTAGAGCCCTGACAGACAACCATTCACACTCACATTCATACCTATGGGCAATTTAGAATTTCCAATTAACCTATCCCAACTAATTGCATGTCTTTGGACTGTGGGAGGAAGCCAGAGGACCCAGAGAGAACGCACGCAAACACAGGGAGAACATGCACAGAAAGACCCCGGCCTGATGGTGGAATTGAACTCAGAACCTGTGAGGCAATAGTGCCTCCCCCCAAAAAAACCATGATCATGTTAAATCTGTTTTCTTGCATTTACCTTTTTTTCCATTTCCTGAGAGAAACTAAACTGAATAAAAAGCAAAAGTTGTAATTAAATAAAAATGTTCTAAAAATGAGAAAATAATAACTCTACGCCTCTATCACATCTGAAAGAGCTTTTAGTGACAAATGTCTTTCTGATAAAGCTTTTAGTTAATGCTGGATTTAAAAATCGAAATTCAATTTAACCTTATTTAGATTTTTAAAAATAAAGTGGATGAACATTTTTTTAAAGTTCCCTTGCACTGGAATCTGTGTTCCCTCATTTTCTCCATGCGTGGAACATTCACATCTCATGCGAGTCTAATTCTAGTTTTGGGCCGTGTCTGCATTTGTAGCTTCACATTATATGCTTCCCTTTGTTCCTGCCACAGTGCGCGTTGGCTGACATATAAACTGCCTAATATATGAAGACACTCACGAAGCAGCGTCAGAGGAGTTTAGGGTAAGTGAGGAAGGCATGGGGCCTTTTATCTTCCACACAAAATCCATTTAAAATGTCAAATAACCAAAGATTCATACATCAGATCGAATAAATCTCTCCACAGCTGGTTCTTCCTCCTCCTCCGTTTCTTCCTCAGCATCCACTCCTCCTTCTTCTTCTTCCTGCCACAAGGAAGTGACAACCTGCTCCTCTTCCTTCGTGGTCTGATCTGACAGCATGGAGCACGAGGGAGCAGCCTGAGAACTGAGGGACTCATCCACCTCTTCCTCTTCTTCCTTAACCTCCTCTTCTTCTTCCATTTCTACCTCTTCTTCCTCCTTTTCTTTGACCTCTTCCTCCTTCATCTCCAGGACGGCGCCCTCAGTTTTCATATCAAGCGAGGCAGATACGAGGGGCGTCTTCAAAGAGCTCAGCACCTCCTGTAAGAAGGAGTTCTCCTCCTCCCCGTGGTTCTGGATCCCATCTTCTTCACTTTCAGATGCAGAGTCACTTACATCCTTACTCTCCGCTGCACTGGAAGCCATGCTTGTGTCCGTCAAGCCAGAAGGGGGCTCTGGTGTGGCCCTAGAAGCAGAAATCAAGAGATAAGATGAAACAAACCAAGCTACACTCCTGGGAGAGGAAAACCAAAAGGAAACCATTTCTATTCACCTGGGACTATCCAGAGAGGAGGCGCTTGAGCTGAGCTTGGAGGAGGGCAGGGGCTGACTGTCGGAGTCTTCTTCCTCCGAGTGACTTGGCTCAGGAGGAGAGGAAGTGTCCGGGCCGTGAGAAACATCCTGTTCGGCATCGGACTCATCTTCTCCCTCCTCCTCATCTCCCAACAGGGATTGTATGGAATGTTGTGGTTGATCCGTCTCCTCGCTCTCCTCTTCCTCATTTTCCTCCCTCTCAACTTCTGGTTTCAGCAGAACATCAGCCACTTCTGAATCAAACACACAAAAAAGTGTCATCTTATCATCAGACTTATAAGTAACAAGGATATGGAAGCTGATGGCAGCCAATATGAACCACTTCATTATTATTTGTGTGAATTATCTATAAAAAATAATAATTATTATGAATAAATAAATATAAATATAATGAATATTAAATAACTTTGTAAAGTTATATTCATGACTGATTTTCTATTATTCAACTGTTGCAATTAAAATTATTTACACTAAAATGTGTGTCTGGTTTCTTGTAAGGTTATGCAGTAGTTAAAATTACTCACAGTAGAATTATATCTTTGTTTCCTTTAAAAACCTGATTTGTTCTCCCCTTATTCTTGTGTTTAAGTGTATGTAAATATAATTGCATTGTAATTTCACATAAAATACAGTAATATTCCATTTAATTACAGTGTTACCAAAATAACTTAAACAAATACATATATGTATCTTTTGCACTCATGTGGACTATAACCCTTCTATTTGATTAAATACTTTTGTTTTAATATTGGCATTCACAGGCTTCCATACATGAAAACTAGGGGCTTTGCGCACACACCTTCTGCCTCCTGCTGGTCTTGCAGCGGTGTGGAGGTCGTCAGCTTCGCCTCCATCTCAGACTCTTGCCCTGCTTTCCCCTCTGTTCGCTGCACAGAAACGAGACATTTGTGGTGACATCAGCATCATCAATCGCCAATGAACAGTCAGCTAAGCAGTCCTAGAAAACTGTAGCAGCACACATGTGATAACATCCAATACAGCAACAGGTCTCATGAATTTGTATCAGTAAAATCACTTTTTTTCTCAGCGTAACTTCTTTGAAAAGTTTGAATGACTGAGAAGGACGAACGCCTGTGCAGACAGGACCACCTGACCCGTTCTCTGGCTGCTGTACTTTTCTGCACTCACTTTAAGTTTAACCTCCATATAAAAAGGTTTTTAGATAATGTGGGGAAACTATTGACTAATCACTTTGATTGTCCCACTGTTTAGGTTTCTTTTTTATAGTTGGGGAATTACTTTGTTAGGTCCAGTTTTATCACAAAACAGACTCTATGCAATGAGAGCCACGCCATGAAAAGCTATAAAGATCCATTTAAAGTAATGGGAGTATTAGTGTTTATTCATGCTAGAGCTTTTGTTCCCCCTCTTACACTGGCAGGTCTCCTCCTGGCTTTTTGCCTCAGGGCCAGCTTGTGCTTGGCTGCAGAGTTATCCAGACAGACAAAAGGACTGGCCGGCTGGCTGAAGTCTCCTGGAACCACCAGGGGGCTCACTGCTCTGCTGGAGGCTGCGCAGGACAGCTGGGAAGACAGGAAACACTCATTTAGCAACACTCAACCAGGAGAGATCTCTGGGGACAGAATTTGACCATCCATCCAATTGTCCACCCCCACAAGTGGGACGGTTCCAAATAGAGGTGGTCAACTCTCAGACATCAGCCACACTTGTAAGAAGCTTAAAAGCACAAACATTGAAAAATCCCCCAAGGATGCAAACAAGTAGCCAGAGACTGAGCAGGAGAGGGGGAGTCCAGCTGTACAAACATGAGCAGTCCTTATCTGCAGAACCAACACTAGTCTGTCATCACAGAAACCTACCTCTCTCACCTCTCACAAACTTACCTTTTCACTTATTTCAACACGAAACCCACAAAAACACTGCTCTTCTTCCACTAAAGACACACACACACACACACACACACACACACACACACACACACACACACACACTACATGCTAATGTCTGTCTGCATCTGTTAGACTGTAAAATACCATTTCATAGTTTTCATTCTGCATGTAAACCAAAAAGTGTGTTGTGTTGTATGAACACATGGTTTGTTTTATGATCTAACTGAAATTACCCTTAAAACATATTCATGAAATATCGCATAACACAGTACTTCTTTAACAAAATATAGGTTTCCCTGTGTGTGTGTGTGTGTGTGTGTGTGTGTGTGTGTGTGAGAGAGAGAGGCAGACTCTTAATGCTTTAACTACAAGCAGACATGCTGACTGCCAAAGAAACCATTGGAATGCACTCTGAACACTCAACACACACACACACACACACACACACACACACACACACACACACACACACACACAGTCAGTGGAATAACATGTACTGTGGCTGGAGAAAAGAAAAAGAAGGTCAGAGAGAAGGAAAGGGGGAAAGCAACATACAGAGGAAGAAGAGGTCAAGCTGCAGACTTCCATTTAAGGTTTGAAGAGAAGCTGGAGGATTGGTTATGACCACACCCAAACAGACACACACACACACACACACACACGCACACGCCCATCTTCCACTATCACAGACGGCACATGACAACCATTTCCTGTGCTGCAGATATGTGTTGAACATAAGCCTCTCCATTTATGTCCGTACAGGATTTAAAAACACGACACTGAAAGAAGTAAACAGCCAATCACGTTCCAGTCTCCATGGTGAGAAAGGATGCTGAGCCAATGTTATGTCTGAAGCACCGTTTCATCACCGAGCCTCAAACAGTGACTCACAATTAAAAAACACCGATTCCTTAAACCTGCAATAAGTGATACACTGTAACCTTATATGTTAGTATCCATTCGTTTCCAATTGGCCACCTGATGTTATATCCAGTACTGATTCTCCTTTTAATTCATCTAGATCTCATCTAATAACAATAAAGATTATGCTGTTAATCAGCTGGTTGCTAACGCTGTCAGTGTTCACTTACATAATAGGTGGCTTCATATACATGGCACTAATGGAACCTTTGAGGATGCTGGGAAACTTTGGGTCCTGCTTTGACACGTACCGCCTAACTAAGCACTGCTGCAGACCATGTGCAGCCTTTCATGCAAACAGTATAGATGGCTGTGAGCCCTTTCAGCGGGATAAAGGACCCTGTCACGAAGCAAATATAGTTCAGGAATGGTTTAAGAAGCACAACGACGAGTTTGAGGTGTTGATTTTGCCTCTAAATCCACTTAAGCATCTGTGGGATGTGCTGGCCAGACAAGTTCATCGTGGTGCCAGATACCACAGCACAGTTTCAGGGGTCTAGTGTTTCCTCGATGGGTTAGGACTGTTTTGGAAGAAAACAGGGGACCAAAACAATATTAGACAGGTGATTATGATGTTATGTCTGATCTATGGACAATCTGGCTTCTTTATGCAACTAGCAGAGTCGCTCCCTGCTGGGATCTGGAAGTATTACAGACATTTGTGTGCCGGCTTCACTTTACAACACAATGGAAACAATAAACTCAGGAGATGATTCTCAGATCATCTCATTCTCAAACGATGTTCTTTGTCTTACACACAGTTTGATCATCCACTGCTAATAGAAACAGGCAGTCTGAACTCCTCTAATGACCAACTTATATCCACAAACTACAGACAAGTATGTGTGAAAAGATGACAAAGTCTGCACTCTTTATATTTACTGTAAATGCATTTAACACTGGCTGACCTAGACCTAAGTCTCCACAGTGACGTATGCTGACAGCGATGGTGTGAGTCAAAGCCTGGATTGTTGCAAATAAATCAAATTCATTTTCTAAATAAAGCCTGGGGGGAAAAAAACAAAAAAGAAAACAACAACAACAACAAAACCCACAATCAAGTAAACAATTGATGTCTTAGTGAATTCTCAGTGGATGGATAAACTGCACAAAGTGCCACTGTAAGTGCAGTCTATCCTTGACCACATTCCTGTGTGTGGAATTGACTTTAAAGGGGATATTTTCAGGGTTTTGTGTGCCTGTCATTGTAGCCAGCCATTTGTGGCTCTTTCCAGTGGGAGAATGACCAAAACCCGCCTGAAACTGCTAAAAGTACACTATCATTAAAGGCTCCTTTGTCATAGTTTGCTGACTGTGCTTCTAGGCCATATTATAGTCAGTGAGACTAATTGGATAGCTGATGTTCTCGGGACATTTGCCTTATTGTGAACTGGCACTGTGATTCTCTAGATCCATAAAAAGGACTCATTTGAAATTATTGTTAGGGAGAATATGAGGCATTCTGGGTAACACTGGTTAAACCGCAGATTTATACGCAGGGTCAGGAGGACGACAATTTAAGGATACAAAAAAGAGAAAGCTGAAACAAAAAGACTAAAAGCAACAGAGGGGGAAAAAGAGCGCCAAAGAGCGGGAACATAGGGAAAGATGTCACTTTGCATGAAGGGGCTTTTATTTAGAACCAAGAGCAGCGTTTTAGTGATTAGACGGGATCATGAGATTTGTTCTCCGCCACAGTCACATGAGGAGCAATCGCACACAGCTCCAACACATCCACAAAGATTCCTCCTGGCTTTAACAAATCACATCGATCTTACTTGAATCGCTGTTTTGGTTGCAATGCCACACGCAGGACACGGTGCAGATCGTAAAGCATCGCAGCGTGGAAGTTCACTCGTCGGTAAATGTGTCGGTTGTGAATGGAACAAAGCATGAAATAAACAATGCAGTATCTTAGTTTTCGTTGCGCTGACGCTTACCCGGTCCTCATCGCTGTCTATTCCCTCCAGACTGATGGAACTGTTCGCCTGAGCCTGATTCTGGGAGACGCACCAAGAACAAGGAGAAGAATGTTAGGAGCCAAACTCAGGGGCACTAACAGAAGGAAGGCATCATTGAAAGCATGTCTTTATCAAGACCGTGTGAACTGTTGTGTATTCTGGTGGGCTGCAGGGTAGGCCGTCATCCTCAGACATGGTCGCAGGATCTTCTGCCCTCTTCACACACATCAGAGACGGTGGAGAGCCCAGTTTGATGGCCTGCTTCAGCTGAAGCTGCAGAGGAGGAAAAAAAAAGCACATTTATGACAGCAGGGTTAGTGTGTGCACGTTTCAGGCATGTGCTCACCTGTTTGTTTTATAAGGAAGTGAAGGTGTTTATCATTACTTACAGTTGGGGAAACACCATATCTGAGAGCCTGTTTAATAAACTACAGCTCTGTATGAAAGGCTAACAATGGCGTGTTTGAGTACATGTTTATTGAGCATTACAGCTGTTTGCAGGGGGAAAAGATCTTTACTGTGGTGGAATATGACTAACAGGGAATGACCAGTGAGGACTCATAGCTGGGCACTTGACAGAGAAGCGAAAGCCCTTTGAAAGTGATTGTGTATCTGTGTGTGTAGCTGGTATCGCAGAAACTCAAACAGTCTTTATCTGCGTGCTTCCCTGTAACAGTCAGTCAAGGACTCATTTACTCAGTTTCACAGCACAGGACAATACAGCTTTTCTGTAGCAGGGCTGGACACTGGCACGCACCAACACACACAGACACACACGGACACACAATACAAGTTTCTTGACAAAGTCACAAAGAATCTGCTGTTCTAAATGTTTCTATTTTAACATAATCAGCTTATATACTGGAAGCTGTTTGTGGGTGGAAGATAAAATTAATCTGAAATGTAGTTTTTTAATTTAAATGTGCGTGAAAATGTGCTTAAAGGGAGGGTTCACCTCAAAAACCACATTCATGCATTTCTCCCTTTTAGCACTGGTTTGCCCATATCAGCTGTACACATGTCTGCTCTCTGTTGAATATAATGGAGCTAACTGACACTTGCACAAAGATTCTCGTGAGCATTTACCCTTCTATTAAACTGCACCTGCCAATCATATCACTCTGCTCATGATGCTAGCTGCGGTGTGACAGGGTGGACATCCTCAAATTCATCCTCCGCTCCGCTGTAATAGTGCACTGGTAGTCTATAGGTCCAACGCAGAGCACGGCAGAGCTCCACCTGTATGTAGTAGCTGTGTACTGTCACCAGGGGGCAGCATCAAAAATATGTTGAACCAGTGGTTAGTGTGTTACAGTTGTTAGTGCTTGCCCTTTAGCCACGGTCCCACAGAAGACAAAAGTCTTTGTAGTGGAGTGAAAATTGTCCACTTGTCGGGCCACAGACAGTGTAAAAGATGGAGACACTGTAGCCGCAAAGTTGCATTCTCTTTAACGGCCACCAGGGGGTGATAGCTGTGGTTGCTCCTGTATACACCAATGAGAAATCGGCTGTCAGCTGTGACCACAGTAAACGATTTCCTGATAGGTTTATGGACCAGGTTACTAGTTTTGGGTAAGAGTGAGCAAAATGTTAAACTCACTGACAGAAAGGAAGATGATCCAATGTAAATGACTTCTGATAGACATGTTACTAGCCTGTGAGCTTCCTGGTCAGATTTACCCCTCGACTGCAACATCCAGCTTCAAAACACCAAAGAAGGCAACGTTGAAACATAACACAACTTCATAAAGCAGTGGCTGACCTCACAGCAGCTACACCTGTCTTTTATATCATCTCAGTTGGCCGGTGTCCTGTTTTTGTGTGATTTTTCTGGTAGGACAGGATGCAATTGCATCTTTGTAGCTTCTGTATTGTCTGAATTCCTACGCTTAAAGAGCTATATTACTGGACAACAAACGCAGGCCCAAAAACGCCATCAAATGGAATTTTTTCTATCTGAAGCTTTCTGGACCGGTCACAGTGGCAACACCCTTGTTTAGTGAGTTACTACATGACAGTCACTCTCCTGTGCATCATGTTAATGGCCTTGTAGTGTATCGATCCTTACATAATGTGTTTATTTTTGGCTCTGGAATGGCCTCATTCTGCTTATCAAACAGGCAGCACAGCTCACAGCGAGGATTAAGGTCAGGAAATCTCCATTAGATTGTTTTTCCACAGTAAATTCACTTTATGGAAATCAATCTATTAGCAACTTGCATCTCGCCAAACTATCTGTGGCTGTTTTGCCTGAAAACTCTTGGATTTGATTATCAGGCACTCTGCCCGTGTCCGTTACACACTTTCTGATCTACAAAGGAGCCCAAATCAAACACTTCCTCTGTTTTATTTTAGCTTACAGGAGAAAGTGTTTCTTTTTAGCAAAAATCGCTTAAAGGAGTTGTTTGAGTCTCACTCCTCTGTAGCTCAGCGGAGCCGTTTCATTGGAGGTCAGCGCGTCCATCTGGGTCTCATGTCTTCCCCTTTTAGCCCACTATTGTGACAGATACTCTTTCTATCTGTCTGCAGTTCTTCTCATCACGCGGTCCTTTCATTTTGCTTTGACAGAACTTTAATCTCTATTTGTGAAACACATCAGTTCCGCCTGTCCAAACCGCTGCGTTTATCACATTACACATGGATCAAAACTTGTGTGTAAAAAGTCAAAGCTTATTTAATGCCACTTATTACTCGTAATCCCACAGGCTTAATATATAGCAGATCTGCTGGCAGCACTTTGTTCAGTGCCCTGGGGCATAGAAGTGCTCACTCCCAAACACACTTAAATGTGTCAGACTGTGAATCTTTATTGTTTATTATTCCTTAATAACCCCTGTAGTCAAAGGTCAAGGGGTCGGGGGTCTCTGGTGTACTAGACCTGAGAGGACTTTAACTTTAACATGTTTATCTTTGATCCGGTAACTGCGTTTGTGTGTGCATACCTGGAGGGATTTCACCTTCCCATGAATGCTGTCCTGCGATGCCCCCAGAGCCTCGTTTGCCTCCGATGAGTCAGAAACAAACACGGAGTCATGTGACAAAGCCTTGCCTCCCAGACTGATCTTCGACCTTTGGGAAACAGGAAGACAAAGAAATAAACACAGCACAGAGTGATGTTTCACAGCTTCTATAACAAGACAGGTAGAAGAAAAAAAAGAACCAGATGGCGGATCACGACATACAACAACATACCATAAACTACCCATGCAGAGTGTTTGGAATGTGTCGTATAAAAATATATATCAACTGAAAAGACACTTTTAGTTTTTTAAGTGATGGTTTGTTGTCTCCCAGTAATTAGGATGATGAGAGAAATCAGTAAAATGTAACTAGATATTTCCTGTGACAGACTGAGACAAAGCAGGAAGTGGCACCGCTTAGGAAAACAAAGAAATTCAGGACTTTTCCACAGGAAAACACACATTCTTCTAATTGTTACAAAACAGGAAGCGCCGAGCCTTCGCTGAGGTGAGTTTGACAGAACAGGAGATGGATGTTAAAACACAACCTTCCTTTTTTAAATGTGCTCATGACGTTATTGACCTGAATGGATGGATGAGCTCCAACAACGTGAGCAGAAATATATCATTTGGCTACAGAACGGTGCGGTTTCTTGATGAATCCCTTAAACATGGCAGTAAAGTAATGATATAATATTCTGGATTCATATTTTGCTGGGCTCAATTAAACCCCATAATAAGAGCTAGCATTTTAGATGCTTTACATCTGAAAGGGAAATGGGAGGAAAATGGTTCTGCTTAAAAACACACCGTTTATGTAGTTTTAGTTCCATTCCATTTCCTTCAAATTGATTTTTGTCATATTGTCCTGTCCCTCACAAACAGAAGCTTTGATCAACAGGTCGGTGGGCTAGTCACAGCCCGAGATGTGTGCTACAGATGACCAGTTTTTAGATATCTCTTCTCTCTGACATCAAACACAGCCAGGAGTAGAAAAAACTGTCTAAAACTGAGTGTTCGGAGCATTCTGAAGCCTTTCGGCTCACAGGGTTTACCTAAATGGTAAATGGCCTGTATTTGTATAGCGCTTTACTAGTCCCTAAGGACCCCAAAGCGCTTTACACAACCAGTCATCCACCCAGTCACACACACACACACACACACACACACACACACTGGTGATGGCAGCTACATTGTAGCCACAGCCACCCTGGGGTGCACTGACAGAGGCAAGGCTGCCGGACACAGGGCCCTCTGACCACCACCAGTAGGCAACAGGTGAAGTTGTCTTCCCCAAGACTGAGACTCAGGTTGACCTAATTATTTGAAATGTTGGTCCATGCTTAAAGGTAAAGTGTGTAAAATCTCACCATTAGATGTCATTAGACTAAAAATCGCAATCAACTGAATTTTGTCTTTATCCTGTTTTCCTTCTCTCACCCCAACCAATCACAGCAGATGGCCCCGCACCTTCCTGAGCCTGGTTCTGTTGGAAGTTTCTTCCTGTTAAAAGGGAGTTTTTCCTTCCCACTGTCGCCACAGTGCTTGCTCATAGGGGGTCATATGATTGTTGGGTTTTTCTGTTTCTGCATGTATTATTGAAGGGTCTACCTTACAATACAAAGCGCCTTGAGCCGACTGCTGTGATTTGGCGCTGTATAAATAAAACTGAATTTTATTTTCCTACTCCTTCCAGTTCTCCCAGTTCATGGAGAGAAATTTGCCTCAAAAGGGTTGCAAATGATTATGATATGATCCACAAGCATAAAGTAAGATTTAGAAATGTGTACAATGATTTGTGTGTAAGGACTCACACCCACACACAAATATGAAGCAGTCTGAGGACACGTAAAACGATTTTACAAATGCGTTCATCCAAACCTGAAAAAAACACCGAACATTTATGCACAATTTATCAAGTTCATGAATCCGGAACAGATTAATCCAAGTTTAGCGATTTGTTGGAAGATATATGATGCACACTACTCAATGTATATTTACGAGTATTTACAACCGACTGTAGCTTTAATACGAAGATATGACAAAATGAGCATATAATAAATAAGTAGAGGCGTGACAGGTCTTAGTTGAGCTCTGTGTACTTTCGTCAGATTGTAAATAAAAGCATTTCATTCAGCACACGTGTGCGATCTTACCCAGAGCCTTTATCCTTCTCTGCTCGAGTGAGTGTGTTGCTCTCTGATGCTTTGCTGACATTGTCACTCGACTGGCTGGCTTTAAGGCTCGCGTCCGCTCCTGCAGCTGATGGATCCTTTCTCTTCTTCCTGGCAAAGAACCTTTTAAACGTTTGGAACTTGGACTTCTTCTTTCCTGAGAAGACAGAATCATGAATCATTGCATGGTGGTGCACAGTTACATGCTGATGAGAACATTACACACACGGCATCTTTACACACTGCCCCAGTGTGAACTCGAGTTATAGAGCAATTAGTCCTGTGGTGGATGTAAAGACACAGGTAGGCAGCCCAGAGGGAACCACACAGAGCAAACGATGTGTGTGTGTGTTTGCAGAGGCCAACATGAAAACTGAAAATACACATATGCATAAACAGACAAACTCAAGCTTGTAAACCTACCCCCACAGTGGGTCCGTGTCTATTAGCACCACAGTGGAAAAACTCAACAGCTCTTTTATAACTTCTTAAACAGCTGTCATCAAGAACCTGAAATGGTCCTCGCTCCATCTCACATGCAACAGGGATGTGGGCTGGCTCAGCACTTATACACTACGCATTTGTCTTCAAACCACATGATCAGTATAAAGAGTAGTGCAGAGTTGGTATTTTTTTTATTTTTTTTTATTCATCTACATAGTAACAATGGTAACATGTATAGCACTTACAATGTTTACTATGTTCATTAGCTTAGCTAATATTTACTGGGTCAAACCATAGACTGTACATAAAAGATGAACACAGCCTGTGGTTTAGAAAAACAAAGCCATTATAGAAGTGCACATTGTTTCTAACGGCCAGCAGGGCGCAGCACTTCTTGTTTCAAAAAGAAGCCAGAATGATAATATGGTGTAAGACAGCAGTTCATAAACCAGTGTGCAATGCATTGATTGCAATGGTAGAGGTGTAGACCTGTATACAGCTGAGGATGATGGGGAAAAAACAAAAAACAAAATCTGAATGTAACTAGGCTTTCCAAACTGTCAGTGGTTGAAGAGCATTGTGGGTAATGTAGGTTTTGTAAGGTGGGGAGAAAAAAAAAAGCAAAAAGCATTATTGTTGTATATTTTGAGTAAACTGAAGTAGCCATCAAATAGAAACACTTGTAATCAGACAAAAGTCATCACAAAGTGCAACATGTTTCATTGTTTTCACAGCTAGACAGAAACGGGATTTTAGCAGCAGTGACAATATTTGGAGATTTAGATTTTCCAATATATTTCTTTCAGACACACTAAACATAAACAGATTTCTAACATTTAGTTTATGTAGTTTCTTTACTCGTCCACGTTCAGCCCAACTCTGCTCAATCAGCTGGCTGCTGTGTTTGTAGCATCCCAATCAGAGAAGAGTCCTCTGGCTGGCAAACTAAGTAAGACCTATAAAATGTTTTAACAGTGTTTTTTAATGTTTCTACTCTACTTTTTAAATTTTCATTTTGTGGCCTTTAAAATCCTGATGCCCATAGGAGTGGCAAATAGCTAATATCACCTGATAATATCGGCCAACCTATAAATCGGGCGGACTATTTGTTACACGCACCACAGGAGGCACTTAAAACATCCCCAGAGAAAGGAAACAGAAGCTGAGTTGCAAGAAAGAGAAACAACAATGAGAAAGAAGAAGTCGGGAGCAAACAGAACAACTGTAGTCAAACTATTTTGAGGACTCCTACCCCTGAGCCATCCACAGACATTCTTCAGTAGAGATTTCAAAATAAGATGCATTTTTGTTCCACGAGCTGTGTCATTTTCGTCCTCCTCCCTGTGGGGAATCCTTGAGCATTCCTTCTTTTCTAAAAATATACTTTCTGGTTGGAGCTAAGTCCCAACTGAAAAATGTTTGGAATCCAAACCTGGTGCTGAGGCCAAGATGCTTTAAATCTCTGGGTCACTCACTCAAGATCATGTTAAGCACATGTGGTGCATTTTCTTTTGGGATTTTTTGTGTAACACAGAAACCCAAAGACGTCACTAAAATAAAAGTCTGTCAAAATATAATGAAAACCAATTTTAGCGTCTTAATGAGATGCCATTAAATCGCACACAGAACAAGTTATTGTTGGATAACTGCAGTCCACAAAGTGCTGTCTTTACTTGAGGAGGTTCCAACCTGCTTTTTGATGAAGCTTCAGAGGCCTTTCTGCATGGCCAAGATGAACTATCAGGGGGAAGCACCACCCAACAGTACCATTTATTGTGCTATTTTAGGCACAATACTCTATTAAAGCCAAAAGGTCTGCCTAGAAAAAGGCAGCTGATTCAGTGGAAGGTCAGCGTAGAGCTGAGATATTATAGTTTCTCCATATGCATTCTGTTATGACTATCAGGACCTATACACAGTCCTGAGATCAAAATTAGGGACAACTCAGCTGAACTGTGAGAGGATGGTGACCTTTGAAAGGGAGACAATATCAGGGCTGGGATCTCCATAAAAACAAAACTACCAGAAAAATTAGAGACTGTTCATTTCTTGTGAAAAGCAAGTGAGCAAACTTGAAAATTCAGCAGGATTATTGCACCAGCATTAGCCCAAGATTCAAAACTGAACCGAGAGCTTCCTGAAAACAAACTTCTGCCTGTTATTCACTCACATTATCTTGGACCTCAAGCCTGGGCACGAAAGACCAGTTTCATCACGTCTGCTTAAGTCACTGTGTTCACAAGAAGCTCACAACTTAACCTTTCCATGTCGACACACATCTACATCCTGGTTCCCACTCTGTTTGTTGTTAATCTGTGTGCACGTCTGTGTGCGACAGCCTTGTGTTTTCCTCCATTTCCTGCCACAACCTGCAAGGAGATATTTGTGTGCGATCGTTCGAGCTGATTGGATCTTTGCTGGGAGTGAGTAGAAAATCTCATTGCTGATATCGCTGGCAAGTACCAGCATCCAACCATCTCTGAAACAACATTTATTATTGTCATCAGAGCTGAAAGCACCAGGAGTTTCTGCATGTGTTCCCACTAAATGAGACCTCAGAGATTTACAAAACATGCACTGATAAGATTCTACTGATTTGGAAAAAACATGTATTTTGTTTCAGTTGTTGCAAACTTTCAAAATAAAATTAAGCAAAAAAAAAAAAAAGAAAGAAAGAAAAAAGTACAACGTTTGTATTAACACAATCTTTTCATGCAGAAGACTTTCATCTAGAAAACTGCCAAAGTGCCTGGATTATCTGGTTTTCACTGCTCTGTACTGTGAAATTAAAGCAAGGAAGCCTCGTTAGCTACAGCCTGAATGATTACAGGATGGACAGTAACTCATTAGCTGTGCAATCCACAGAAAGTATGAACCATCTGCCGAATAGAAACAGTTGAAAGGTCATTTTCACATTCTCCCTGTATGTCGATGACCTTGCAAACTCCAAGTTGAAGCGGAAAAGAAAAAAGGTCGAAATGATGCAAATTACAGACACGACCTTTTCATGTGATTACAGCGAAGACAGCCACTCAGCATACATTAATACTAAATATGCCTGGATTCCCAATCAAACATTTACAGAAAACATTTAATCAAACTGTTACCTGAGCACTCTTCCTGGACTTCAGCAGGCTCCTGATTGGTTGTCACGTCTGGAGTTCCTGATGCCATGGCAGCACTGTCACTGCTGGGAGGGAGACAGATGATGAGTTTGATGATTAATAATAATAATAATAATAATAATAATAATAATAATAATGGATACTTTATTGATCCCCATGGGGAAATTACTTGTTTTTCTCTGCATTTGACCCATTCACTCAGTGAAGCAGTGGGCAGCCCACTAAGCAGGCGCCCGGGGAGCAGTGTGTAGGGACGGTACCTTGCTCAGGGGTACCTCAGGGTAGCTGTTAAGGGGAATCGAACCCCCGACCTTCCGATCATGGGGCGACCACTTTACCTACTGAGCTATTACAAAGTCTTTCATAAGTTTCATGAACAAGACCAGAATCAGGCTGGCTGCTATAAATCAGTAGAAAAAAAAATAGAAAAAAAATAAATGTCTGCATTTATCTAAACCTGCTTCTGCCTTCTTATTTGGCTGATATGGCAGCTACCTAGTTGCAATGTGATCAGATTAAAAAGTGATTAAAGTCCTACTTAGAAGTGTCAAGACTGCTGGTAAAAGTGGCTTGGCGTGGTCGGACCGCATGGACAGGCGACTGTTGGGGCGGATTACATCCATAACAAGTCACCACCTTATAAAATCCCCCCAAAGCTCATTATGCAACTCCTGGATGCATTAACGGTGATGTAGTTGTTCATTCATTAAACAGGTGGAAACGTGTGAAAAGTGCTTCTCTTTGCTATTTAAACTTTAATCTCCATCTGATGTGTCTCCACAATCCAAACAGTCCTAGCGGAGGCACGCCTGCTATGTTTCCAGTGTACTCCTGCGCCGTTAACTCAAGTGTTCATCACGTCAACAGCAGGTGCCCAGCAACCGCCGAACACAACCTTAAACAGATATGAAATCACATTATGAGCGGGTGCCTCGTTAAGGCTCTGTGTGCAGCAGGACTGAGGGCTTCACATTCGGGCTGCGAGTCAGCCTTCACTCTACAGTACAGTAGGTTCATTTGCGAGTCATCATTTTATCATTAACATTATTTTAAATCACTCTTTGCACTGCACAGAGCTCTCTCGAGCCCACAGGACGTCTGAGGCCACGTGAATGCAGTTCCAGCATGGTGAACCAGTTAGATGATCCTGTATAAATGTTTTACTCTAGTGTCAAATCTAATTAGCCGTGCACTGTGCTGTGTGTTGAGGATTTCCTGAGCCATTTGGCAGGAAGTTGACTCATTGCTGATATGGTTTTCAGCAAACATGTCTAATTGTAGCTGTGCCACCATTTATTTCAGGTCTGCAGAATCTGTGGAGGTTAGTTTGTCAATGCTTCACTGGGCTGAAAACAGAAACTCGATGATGTATCAGCATGAAATTTCATAAGGATGTTTGCAGTTTCCAGAGATGAATCCCAAAGATTCTGGAGGTCCCCTGGCTGTTTGACAGCTAACCCCGTGATCTGACTCAATACAGAATAAATTACATTAACATGGATGTATTCATTGTGAACAAGTGCAGGTTGTCTAACCAAAGTAAAATAACAATAAATGAACGAATCTCCTTTGGGTTAAAGGTTTCTATGGAAACTGTGATATGTTGTTTTGGTTGAACCCAAAATTGGTGGGAAACGGGCACTATTCAAAACCCCTTTTTGTTAATCACAATAGTTTTATTTATTATGCATATAAAACCTTAAACTTGATTTGTGCATCCAGAACCTCCAAATTTTTAGTTTAGCAAAATCAAAAACAAGTCACATAGTTGGATTTTATCACGGATCAACTTTAACCTTTACCCCAAACTAATGTTATCTAAACGTGTGATTTCTGGCTTTTGAAATTAGTTTTCCCAAGTCCGTATTCCTCAAGCTCTTTCCAACTCAGATTCCCAGAAGTCCACGGCTCACACAAATATTTCTAAAACCAATCACTAACAATAAAAAAGATTCAAGTTTAATTTTGCACAAATAAAATAAAGGTCAGCATGATGTTTTCCCCCTGGTGATCCACACTCAAACTGCAGTCCCGATCGTGGCTTTACCACCTTTTTAAGTCTCGTCAATCAGCGAACAACAAACACTCAGAGCCTTTTTGTACTTTTCAAATGGTCCTTTTATGCTTCTCTAAAGCGTAGAGTTTACTTAGGGATTATGGTTACTGATGCCTGATCCCCGGTGTGATGACTCACAGTGTCAATGAAAAGCACCCATGAAATAAAAAATAAAAATATATAACAGGAAATTAAAAAGACTGAATGTTTATACATTTTAATTATGAGGCACACCCGTAAAACTGCTCATTAACACAGCTATCTAAATCAGCCAATCACATCGCAGCAACTCAGTGCAATTAGATTATATAGACATGACAACCTGCTGAAGTTCAAACCAGCAACAAAGTTGCTTCAAGGGACTTAACAATTACCATGGTTACAGCCAAAGGATACAGAACAGCATCTCTGAATGCACAGCGGCCTGAACCTTTAAGCTGAAAGGCTACAACATGCTAAGAACAGGAAATTAAGGCTACAGTTTGCACATGCTCACCAAAACCTGAGCATACAAGACAAGACAAATGCTGACTGGTCTGATGGTTTTTCATTTCTGTTGTGAAATAAGGATGGTAGGGTCCAAACTTTGCATAAACAATATGAAAGCATGGATCCATCCTGCTTTGTACCAACAGTTCAGGCTGCTGCTGACGTAACAGTGAAGAGGATATTTTGTGGCACACTGTGGGCTCCTTAGTTCCAACTGAGCATCATTTAATCACCACAGTGTACACACCTTCTGATGGAGGATACCTAGTTATGTCATAAAGCTCAATCAGCTCAAACTGGTTTCTTGAACATGACAATTGAGTTCACTGTACTGAAATGGCCCCAAGAATCACAGGATCTCAACCCAATAGAACAGTGGCCTCAACCCACCAGTCCATGAGTCTGTTGGTACCAGGCCGCGGGGGAGTTGAGACTCGGGTGTGAAATTTATGGTTTTCAGGGTTTTTATCGGTTTTATCATTAACTCAGTTTCCCTGGGTCTATTCCCGTGTGTTATGAATAAATCTTCCCTTTTTTTGGTACCGGTACTGGTTTTATTTGTTGTATTTATCCGCGGCACCTTAAAGGCCAGTCCGTGAAAATATTGTTGAACATAAACCGGTCCGTAGCGAAAAAAAGGTTGGAGACTGCTGCAATAGAGCAGCTTTGGGATGTGGTGGAATGGGAGATTCTCGTCACAGTAGCTGACAAATCTGCAGAAACTATGTGATGATCTTTTGTCAGTATGACCCCAAATCTCTGAAACAGTGCCTTGTTCTATGCACAAAGAATTAAGGCAGTTCTGAAGTCAAAAGGGAGTCAAAACTGGTACTAGAAAGGTCTACTTAGAATCTATATCCATAAATAATATTGCAGTTAATCTTAAACCTCACGTTATGTAAGCGAGGATCATGGGAAAAGTCAAACCATGAACACAGTTTACTTAACAGCAAGCCAACAAAGACAAGAAGTCCTTAAAGAACTAAACACAATCACAATAGGCATCAAGTTCTTTTTATCAGCACCCGTGTCCATGACTACAACTGACCGATGTCCATCTGCTTATGAAGGGTGTGTCGTGACTGCTCCAGGTAAGAGCTAACAGGTTAACACTGTGATAGAATCGTTTGTGCTAAAAAAAATTTAAGGTGGAGAAACCGCCACTGTTTTTTTTCCCCCCAATCGTGTTGTTAGTGTGAGAAGACTCCCTCTCTGTTAAGGAAGCAGCTGGAGAACTTCTTGTCAACTGTGTTTACAGTGAGCTGTGTGTTAAAGAAACAGAGAACATTCCAGAGGGTCTATTGACGTACTGAGGGCCTTTCACCAGTATTACTATTATATAATCATAAGCTATTATTGGTTTGTTAAAGTCGTGTGAATCATCATCATCATCATCCTGTACAGACTCTGTAGTCTAACACCTTCTCTTATCAGAATTTATTTCAAAGCCACAAACGACTGAACCTCACCGATTTGTATTAAACACACGGTGGTTGTATTGTTTTGCTATATACATTATTTTTTATACTTGAAGTATTTTATTTAAATGCCATGGTTACAAACTGGTATATGCCAATGCTGTTATCAGGTGATCACAGTACAACCATGAGTTAACTGCATACACACTTACATAGACTCAAGCGTATCTAGAAAGCAGCTACACGAGCAGAAATGAGCATAGACACTCATACAGTGTTGTGATATGAATGAAATCAATACCAGGTAGAGGTAAGAAATAACATCAATGTTTACAGGTGAGGGCCAAAGTATTGATGTTTAAGAATTAAATTATGGGGTCCAAACTGCTGCTCTCATGTCTGGGTATTAAGCATTTAATAGAACTGAAGCCACCATGTAGTTAGCATAGAAAAAGCTAGCATTGTTTTCTGCAAAAGACAGTACCATCATGAATATTTAATGAATGCGTTCTCATGAATGCACGTATTGTATCCTCCTGAGCAGAGTGTAGTCAAAAACACTCAGCTCAGGGCTTCATGACAGGACATTCTTAACCAGTGAATGACGTCATGGTGGCAGAAGCCATCTTTTTTATACAGTCTGTGTACTTAAAACATAGAAATTTATATAGGATCTTTGAATTCCTGGCAGGAGAGTAAAAAAAAAAAAGTATCTGCCAAAAATAATAAATCCTGATATGTTAAAGCTCAACTTTCATTTTAAAGAATGAGCAACAGAGCTTAAATCCTGAACCTCCAAGGGACGGATCCAACAAAGTAAAAAAAACAAAAACTCTTTTACAGTGACGCAGATGTGTTAGGATGAAGATCAGATGGTCAGGAGTCACAGTGACTGACCTGTGCCCATTTCCAAAGCCGGATCCCCATGGTGACATCCTCCGCTTCATTAGAAATACAGATAGACGAAGGCAGGCGAGACAGAAGGATGGATTTGCAAACTCAATGAAAAGTGCAGATGAGACGAACACAAAAAGCGAGAGGGAGTGAGAGAAAAGAGCGAGAAAACCAGAGGAAGGGACAAACACAAGAAAGCGGGAGGGGA